GGGCTGCCGGGATTAGAACCGGCGCCTATATGGGATCCCGGGCGTGCAAGGCGAGGACCTTTAACCACTTGCGCCACCGCGCTGGGCCCGATTTATTTGGTTTTTAAAATAGGAGAATTACTGGGGTTTTTTAGATGCATGACTGTTGGGAGCTGAATGTTTGTATGCTTTATGTTTATAGGCAGTAAAACTATGAAAAAATATCAGAGTAGGAATGCCTTAATTATAGGGTAGTAATTACCTCTGGGAGTGAGTTTCAGTTTTAAAGATGCATATATGTGGTTAAGTGTTATTTTTAACTTGGCAGGTAATGGATTCACACGTGTTTGACTTTTTTTAAATTAATTTTTGATGCGACAATACAAGATTTACTTAACTGTAGGGTAAATGGGGATTCAAACAGCAGTTAGTGGAGATGGAATACAGAGATTTTCTCAAGTGAGCTAGAGAAGTTAAATGACATTTGGAGGCCACCTGCAAGCATTGTCCCAGGCTCTAAGGAAAGGTGCTTCCGGTTGTGGCTTCTCTCAAGTTGTAGTTGTGGTTCTTAGTAATCTTACAATGTCCATGCAGGATAGGGCTGGCACTGTGTAGTGAGAGGCTAAGCCTCCACCTGTCGTGCCTGGTTGGACTCCCTCTGCCCTACTTCCCATCCAGCTCCCTGCTTGTGGACTGGGAAAGCAGTGGGTCCTTGGGCCCCTGTGTCCACGTGGGAGACTGAGAGAAAGCTCTTGGCTTCAGATTGGCCCAGTTCCTGCTGCTGTGGCCATTTAGGAATGTGAACGAGTGGATGGAAGTTGTCTCTGTAACTCTGCCTTTCAAATAAAAATAAATAAATCTTTAAAACAAACGATTTAAAAAAAAACACCCTTTTGGGGTATACCGTAACTTTGGGTTAAATTGCTGGTGGGGATGTCCGTGTCCTGTTTCAGAGCCAGGGAACCAGCTGAGAGCCAGCTCTTCCTTAGTCCAGCTTGTGGCTGATGCTCCCCCAGGAAGCTGCAGGTGGCAGCAGCCCAGGCCCCTGGGTCCAGGCTCCTGGCTGCAGCCTGGGCCAGTCCTGGCTTTCGTGGACCTTTGCTGAATGAACCAGAGGCTAGAAGATGTCTCTGTGTTGATCTGCTTTTCAAGTAGATGAAAAGGAATACATTTTTAAGATTCTCCAAAGACATGTTGGGGAAAGTCAGGCTGTAGAGGTGTCTTGTTCCAAACAAAAACCCCTGTCGCATGAGCGCTGCAGACATTTCTGGTTGTCTTAATCACCCAGCCAGAACAGCAAGCCCCTCACTGCTTACCGCTGGACTCCTGCATTCAGGTTTTGTTTCATGAGAAAGTTGGATTCTGACAGAGAGATAAGACAACCTATTCTCCGTTCTGCTCTGCTCAGCCGCAGTGGAACTGAGTCTTGGCAGGTGCTGCCTGCCCCTGCCTGAGGTGCTGTTGGCTTTCCGGGTGTCTGCGTTCGGAAGAGACTGCTGAAGCTGGGTGATGCGCTTTGATTTTCTTCATCTTCTTACTACCCATCTCTCTCTGCTGTCTTTGGTTGCAAGGGTAAAAGGTAGATTTTTCTCTGGGAAAATGTGGACCTTCTGTGGTTTTCTTGCACATGGAAGCCCTCCTGCAGAGCACAGTGTGAGGGCTGGGCCACGTGTGGCTTGGTGCAGTGTGGCACCGCTCTGACGGGCTGCTGGCTCTGTGGCTCCGGGCTGGGTTGGTCGGGAGTCTGTGAGGTCTGCGTCCAGCACTGAGGCTTTCTGTGCCCAGCCCTCGCAGCCCCTGTCCTGGGCTCCAGATCTGCTTCATGATGGGGAGCTGGTCCGCGTCCAGTCTTCTTTCTGCCATCTTTCACCTTCTATCATTTTATCTTTTACTCTAACAATTTAGAAAGTCTTACTTATGAATTTAATTTGTGAATTATTACAGTGCAATTTTTAAAATATTATGTGCCTTATTATAATAACATTGTCTTATGTACTAAATATAAGTAATTGTCAAAAAGTTCATGAAAATTGGGGCTCAGTAGCCTAACGGCTAAAGTCCTCACCTTAAACACACCGGGATACCATATGGACGCTGGTTCGTATCCCCGTTGCTCCACTTCCCATCCAGCTCCTTGCTTGTAGCCTGGGGAAGCAGTTGAGAACAGCCCAAAGCCTTGGGACCCTGCACCCACATGGGAGACCTGGAGGAGGTTCCTGGCTCCTGACCTCAGATTGGCTCGGCTCCAGCCGCTGTGGTCACTTGGGGAGTGAATCATCAGACAGAGGATCTTCCTCTCTGTATATCTGCCTTTCCAATAAAAATAAATATTTTTAAAATTTCATGAAAATTGTGTATTATGAAGAAAATTATACATAGATACATACCTAAATAAAGCAACTTTTCCATGAACTTTGGAAGACCTTCATAACTTACTTTAGTCATTTAGAGAGGTATAAATTATCCTAAGGTAAATTATGCGTTTCTTAAAGATTTCACTAGGAAATTCAAAGGAAATTTTCATGTGTTCAGCTTTTATTAGGTGATATTAAAAATGCAGATTTAACTAGAGTTCCCTTCTATATTAAAAATTAGAAAAACAGAATGAAAATGAACTAGTAAAATTTTGTTTTAAAAAAATCTTTATGTTTCAAAGAATGGAACTTGCATTATCTTTAACATATTGTTTACCCAATACTATGTCAATTAATTCCAAAAAAAAAAAAATCTTTAAAAGAAAGAAACATTAAGAAAAAAACAAAATTATAAGTAGGGATGGTCTTTGGTATCATTTGTATGCTAAACAACAGAATATTAGATAATAACTTGAAATAATTATTAATCTATAATTATTTACTAAGAAGGTATACAATATATTTTTTTAAAGATTTATTTGTTTTTGTTGGAAAGCCAGGCTCCCCATGTGGCCACAATGGCTGGAGCTGAGCCAATCAGGAGCCAGGAGCCTCTTCCGGGTCTCCTACATGGGTGTAGGGTCCCAAGGCTGTGGGCCATCCTCCAGCCTTCCCAGGCTGCAAGCAGGGAGCTGGATTTGAAATGAAGCAACTGGGATACAAACCAGCATCCATATGTTATCCTGGTGTATTTAAGGCGAGGACTTTAACTGCTAGGCTACTGCACTGGGCCCAATACAATGTATTTTAAGAGTGGTAAAGCAAGTTTATTGCATTATTTATAACATCTCTACAGATAGTGAGATGGAAGTAGTCAGGGAAAAGTAAGGAGTGGAGTAGATCTAGATAGGTAACATTTACTGTGTTTTGTTTTGTTTTGTTTGAAAGGAAGTTTTATAGTGTGAAGGAAAAAACAGAAAGAGCTTCTATGCATTGATTTACTCTGCAATGGCCACAACAGCTGGAGCTGAGCTGATCTGGAGCCAGGAGCCCCCTCAGAGTCTCCTGCATGGATGCAGGGGCCCAAGGAAAATGAGCCATTCTCCATTGCTTTCCAGTCTACGGACAGGCAGCTGGATGGGAAGTGAAACAGCTGGGACAAAAACCAGCACCCACATGGCATGCTGGCACTTAATGCTGGAGGATTTGCCAGTTGAGCCACTATAGCAGCCCCGGAACATTGAATTTTTAAGGATTATTTGTTGGTTGCAAGGCAGTTCATAGAAGTATCCCCGTCACTGTTTCATTCCTCAGATTCCCATGGCAGCTGGGCCTGCGGCCTGGAACTCTCAGTTCAGGCCTCGGGACACACCTGGGAGAAGGGACCTAACCACTAGACCTATTAGAATTGTCTGGAACTGGAAACAATACTCAGACACTCCAATATCGGAAGCAAGCCTGCCCATAGAAGAGGACTTTTTTAAAGCGTTTCTCGGGCTTTTGTACTTAGAGGCCTTTGTTTTAGAACAGTGTGCCGGGGCCAGTGTTGTGGCTTAGTAGGGTAAGCCACTGCTTGGAACTGGGGTAGACTCTGATATCCATATGCAGTCACTGGCTTGAGACCTGGCTCTGCTCCATTTGGGATCCAGCTGCCTACTAATCCTCCTAGAAGAGCAGCATGATGAGCCAAATGTGTGCACTGCTGTCTCTCCGGTGGGAAACCTGATGGTGAGGCTGCAGGTTCCCGGGGCCCAGCTCAGCCCCCGTGTGGCTTCTGTGGCTATTTCAGAAGTGAACCGACAGATGAAAGATCTCTCCTTGTTCCTTGTTCCTAGTTTTGTTACATTGATTTTCAAATAAAATAAATCTTTTCAAATAAATTAATTTTTTAAAATGTATATTAAGGGCCCAGTGTGCTGGCCTAGTGGCTAAAGTCCTCACCTTGCATGCGCCAGGATCCCATGTGGGTGCCTGTTCCAATCACAGCACACTTCTTCCCATCCAGCTCCCTGCTTGTAGGATGGCCCAAAGCTTTGGGTCCCTGCACCCATGTGGGAGACCAGGAGGAAGTTCCTAGCTCCTGGCTTCTGATCACCTCAGCTCCTCTTTATGGCTCATGTGACCACTTGGGGAATGAATCAATGGACAGAAGATCTTCTCTGTCTCTCCTCTCTGTATATCTGACTTTGCAATTAAAAATAAGTAAATTTTTTTAAAAAGACATTGAACAATCTTACCAGTTGACATAGTGTAAGATAAAGTGCCTTTTTGAAAATGTTTAGCAAAAGTGTATCAGTATGGTATTAAGTTGGCTTAAGATTTTTTGCTGTGTATTCTAGAGTTGTTTGGTAAATCATTTTGTCAATCTAGTAATTCATTTATAGCAAATACGCTAATGATAGAGCTGTTTCACAAGAAAAAATGGGAAGGATTTCTGTGTGGCTGTGTGACTGCTTATCGGAGGTGCCGGAAGCAGGTTGTAATTCCCATCTAGTTTCCTGAGGCCTGGCCTGGCTGAGCAGTAACTTGGTTTTATGGCTTCTGCACGTTAGTCTCTTTGCTGTTCCTGATGATCTGTGGAAGTCTTTTTGGTTATAAAATCACATTTGACAGTTTAAGGCTGCCATAATTTGTGGCTTTAAAAATGTGTGTTTTGTTCCCACGCAGGCCGAATACATCAAGCAATGGTAACATCTTTAAATGAGGACAATGAAAGTGTAACTGTGGAATGGATAGAAAACGGGGATACGAAAGGCAAGGAGGTACGAGCCGTGGCGGACCTGCTTCCGTACCCAGTCAGGAAAGCACAAAGCATCTCTATGTAATATCTGTATTCTTAATCAGCTCTTGAAAAGTTTGAAATGATTAAACTTTTTCACTCAGCATCCTCTGTGCATGCCTTATATAATTTCACATGTCAGATGTTTTAACTGGAAAATGTTGATACTGTAACGGTCAATTATATGGTTCTGCTCATCTGTTGTTGCCAATTTATATACTGCACTCCACGCTATTGTAAGAGATTTTAAATATATGCTGGGCAGTGCCATTCGTTAAGCTGAATTCATTTAAGAGTTGTTCTGTTCAGATTTGTTTCAAAAATGAAAGGTTAATTTGTCAGAATTCTCCTGTAATATTTTTTTTTAAACAGATTGACCTGGAAAGCATCTTCTCCCTTAACCCTGACCTCGTCCCTGATGAAGAGATTGAACCCAGTCCGGAAGTCCCTCCACCTCCAACAGCCTCGGCCAAAGTAAACAAAATCGTAAAGGTTGGTGATGATACTCGGAGGAAGGAGTGTGTGTGTGTGTGTGTGTGTGTGTGTGTGTGTGTGTGTGTGTGTGCATGGCTTTGGTAGTGATGTGGTGTGCAGAGCAATTTAAATATTGATGTGTGTGCTTTATTTAAAAAGAGGAATATTTGGGATCAGCATTGTGGCATAGCACAGTAAGCCACCATCTGCAAGGCCAACATTTCATGTGGAAGCTGGTTAATATCCCTACTACTCCTCTTTTTTTTTTTTTAAAGATTTATTTATTTTAATTGAAAGGCAAATTTATAGAAAGGAGAGGCAGAGAAAGATCTTGCTGGTTCAATCCCCACGTGGCCGCTATGGCCAGAGCTAAGCTTATGAGAAGCCAGGAGACTCTTCTGGGTCTCCCATGCGAGTGCAGGATCCCAAGGCTTTGGGCCGTCTTCGACTGCTTTCCCAGGCCACAGGCAGGGAGCTGAATGGGAAACAGGGATCATGGCGCATACAAGGCAAGGATTTAGCCACTAGGCCGTTGCTCCAGACCCAACTGCTGCTCCTCTAATCCAGCTTCCTACTAATGCAGCAGACAATGGCCCTGATGGATAGGCCCTGCCGTCTACATAGGAGACCCGGCCTAACCCAGCCATGGCTGTTGCATGTAGGCTTTTCCAGAGTAAAGTAGCAGAAGGAAGATCGCTGCTTCTCAATAGATCCTTAAAAAATGTAAAAGAAAACTAGTTCTTTCTGTCATCCTGGTGTATGTGGAAAAACTCCACACCTGACCTCTTGTCATGATCAGAACACCAGTGTATGTAAAAACGTTGGATAAAATTAATACTATCAAATTATATTTATGAGGCCTAAATGAATTGTATTAGTGCTTTTTAAAAATTTATTTATATTTGCAGTTGACAGATGTACAAAGGAAAGGACAGCTTCTCCCTGGAGTAGATGCACAGAAGCAGTGAGCTAGCTGGGGGTGCGAAATAACCGCGGCAGGCCAGGGCGGGGGCTCGGGAGGCTCCTCCTCCTCCCGCCAGCCTCAGCATCGCACACGGGCCCTGGTTCATGTTCCACCTGCTCCATTTCCCATCTAGCTTCCTTCTTGTGACCTGGGAAAGCAATGGAGAATGGCTCAAGTCTTGGGACCCCTGCACCCATGTGGGAGGCCCCCCAAAAGTTGCTGGCTCCTGACTTCGGAGCAGCTGAGCTCCGGCTGTTGCAGCCACTTGAGGAGTGAACCAGCAGATGGAAGAGCTCTGAGCTGTCTCTCCTTCTGTCTGTAAATCTGCCTTTCAAATAAAAATACTTCCATACATCTTTTCGAAAAAGAAAAAACAAGCTGAAATCGTGATAAATGTAAGTGTGACGTATGAAGAGATAAAAAGCAAGCACTTTTTTTTTCTTGTTTAGAATCGGCGGACTGTGGCTTCTATTAAAAATGACCCTCCTCCAAGAGATAACAGAGGTAAAGTAATCATTTATCTCAGTGTTGCCTGTTCTCGTAAGTTTCTAATGAAGTAAATCACAAGTAAATACTGGGACAAGCGTGTGGCACAGCAGGTCTAATGTTAGTATCTCTCTACTTCCTTTCTGCTGCCCGCCTTCTCCTCTCTTTCTCTTGACCTTTCAAAGAAATAAAAGTAAGTTTAAAAACTTGCTTAATGGGGCCAGCATGATAGCTCAACTGGGCAACCCTCCACCTCCAAGTGTGGCATCCCATATGAGTACCAGTTCATGTGCTGGCTGCTCCGGTTCCCATGCAGCTTCCTGCCTGTGGCCTGGGAAAGCAGTAGAGGACGACCCAGGTCCTTGGGACCCTGCACTCATGTGGGAGACCCAGAAGAATCTCCTGGTTCCTGGCTTCTGATTGATTTAGTTCTGGCGTTTGCAGCCATTTGGGGAGTGAACCAGTGGATAGAAGATCTTCCTCTCTGTCTCTGCTCTCTGTAAATCTGCTTTTCCAATAAAAACAAATAATCATTTTTTTAAAAAAAAATGCCCTTAAAACACCCCTAGTGATGTTATTAATTTAAATTTGGTGGGACTCATTTTAAGATGTTATTTCTTCTTGATTTAGTAATGCAGTGGCATTCATACAAATGACCTGAAAACGTGTCATGAGTCTAAACCCCATAAAATGTAGGTTTTTTTTTAATTGTAATCATTAATTTTATTTTGCTCATAGTGTTGTGTATTTGGAGAGAAGTGATGGGGAAGGAAGCAGTTGACCGATTTCACGATTATTGAGCACCATGTTTTCTTTGATGTTCTGGAGAAGGTGGTTATGTTCCGAAGCAGCTCGGAGAGTTCCTGATTAACCACCAGCCTCGTGTTCTCTTACATAGCTGCAGCCGGAAGGTGTAGAGCAGGAATGTTCTCCCTGCTGGCATCCAGGGTTGCCTTCCCGATGCTGTCGGTTGGTGTGCCGGCTGGCAGGGATAAAGGCGGGGGACAACGTTTGTGCTCTTGAATCATGCATTTCTTTAAACATTTGCTGTTTATATTCTTCTTGGTTCCTTTTTCCAATTTTATCACACCTACATTGGGAAGGTTTCTACTGAAGATTTGTGTATTTTGAGGGGCAGAGAATGAGATTTGGAAAGTAAGGGTCAGTGAAGGCATTTTCAGATTGACAGTGTGTACATCTGAACAGCGTAAATGTTTCGATCTGAGAATCTGTTTAAATTCATCTTTTATGCATAGCATTTTAAGGAGATCGTTTTTCATCGTGAAGTAATGAAAAAGTTCGTAGTCATAACTGTTGTTAAAAATCGTTTTCTGTTGGTTATGTACGTTATTCAGGTTGCATTGTATAGCTGGAGTTACGTTGAATGGAGCTGATTCTGCACATAGTACCTTGAAAACTGCTTGTAGCTTATGTCCGTGTATTAGGAATTTCATATATTCCCTGTTAAGGCATACAGAAGTGGAAAATTCGGCAACTTAATAGTGTAGCATTTACATTTCGGGTCTTTTTGAGGTGTGTCTTCTTTTTACCAAGGCCAGTTTTTGCTAATCTTTTTTTTTTAATTTGAATGCTTTTCACACACAGTGGTTGGTTCTGCACGTGCCCGGCCCACTCAGCTGCCTGAGCAGTCCGCCTCTGCACAACAGAATGGTAGTGTTTCCGATATCTCTCCAGTTCAAGCTGCAAAAAAGGAATTTGGACCCCCTTGTATGTAAATTATGTATCAAAGATTCAGTCACTTTAGGCATACATGTATTCTCTCTTGGTCATCCTTATGTCTAAGTCCCCTGGTGGTAAAGTCTGATTCACAAACTGGATTGTGGATTTTGTTTTATACAATTATGAAACATTTTCTGTTTTTGTCTGACTACTTTAGTCTGCTAATTGAATTTTCAAATCTGTCTTGGAGAAAAAAGAAAAAATTAAACGTAAAATTGGCAGTGTCTCGCTAGCTTTGGATTTAGAATTCTGGCCAGATGAAAACCTTGTGGATCTTGATCCTATCAATTCAAAGATCCGTGACCCTAAACCAAGAGATGACATGTATCAGTATGGTTGAGTCATTTTTTCTTGACTCTTCATTTGTATCTTGTCCTGTGCCCACATTTGTTCAGAGCAGCTCATCAGTAAGCTCATGTCATCACTGCAGGCATGCTTCGTCACTGTGTCCTTTTTTTGCTGTATGTGGTAAAGTAATACATAAAATGTTCATAAAAAGTGCAGTATCCTAAAGAGAAAGCTATACTTGTCCTTCTATAGCTCATCTTTTCTTTTTTTTTTTTTAAGCACGTAGGAAATCTAATTGTGTGAAAGAAGTAGAAAAATTACAAGAAAAACGAGAAAAAAGGAGACTGCAACAGCAAGAACTTAGAGAAAAAAGAGCCCAGGTATGTAGCATAAATGTATATTTTATTTTGTTCCTGCATCAGGCAAAGGTGATGCTATCAATGAAAGTGACGCGAGTCATAAAGTAGTTGAGAGGTTTACTTAAAGAACTTTCTTTAGGGGCCGACCCCGTGGCATAGTAGGCCAACCAGCTCCCCGATTATGGCCTGGGCAGAAAGCAGAGCATGGCTCAAGTCCTTGGGCCCTGCTCTCACCCGGGAGAAGAAGCTCCATGGTTAGTAAATTTGACACATCATAGGAAGAAAGAGAGAGAAATTCTTGATTTCAGATTTGTACTGGATAACGAGAGGTGATCTCCATCATGCTCCTGAAGAATTTCCTTGTGGTGGTAGTACAAATTTTAACTGGGTTTTTAATCCTTTGAAGGTCTTTTCGTAGTAGAAATTTTGTTGTTCATATAACTCCTCCATCTGTGCATACTGTTTCCCATAGTAAAACAACAGGTCATTAATCTAGTAGCATGTTCAAATGCCCTTAACCAAGCCAGCCCACCAGGTCACAGGTTTTGTTAATCAGTTGTGTACCCAGTGTTCTGTTGATTCTGAGTCAGTGTGTGCAGTAGGGATCCACCGAGACAGCACAGGTGCCACCTGCTGCTTCTTCCGAGTACTGCATCATACATCTCACTTCTCTAAGTCTCACTTCTGCTTTTCCAAGGCCGTGGGTAAAATGATTTCGCAGAGCAGAATTAAAAGTAAGTTTCAGTAATGATAATGAGGTTAAATTACATTCACAGGAAGGCTGTTTATGTGTTTTTTAAAAAATAGAACTTCTGTTAGTAGTTTTTCATTCATGACCAGGAGAAGCTATTAACTGTTACTGTCTAACTTACTAATATATTCTCTTAGTTTGGAATTCAAGAATTAAATTGTACTCAGCATTTAGTGACTTTAGTTTTAAAAAATTATTTTGCATTTGCTTCTTTAAGTTTTGTGTCCTAATGCTTTAGGGCTATTTCACCATGCCAGATTGATTGATTGATTGATTGATTTTTTTTTCAGAGAGTCAACAAAAGCAGAAAGTGTCTGTAACCAGATATCTGTCTCTGCTTTGCTCAAACACTGATTTATGAAATTGAGAAAAGACTGATTAATTTCTCCAGGATTTCAGCTTTTCCAGAGTCCTTTGCCAGTTGTTTTAAATGGGAGCTATTTCTCTTTCCCTCCACTGTCTATTTCAAGTATTATCTATTTGAAAGGCAAAGTTTAAAGACATGCCTTCCATGTGTTTGTTCACTGCCCAGATGGCTGCAATGGCCAGGGCTGGGTTAGGTTAGAACTAGGAAACATAGGCCCAGCATGATATCCTAGTGGCTGAAGGCCTTACCTTGCATGCACAGGGATCCGTATGGGTGCTGCTTCATGTCGTGGGTGCGCCGCTTCCCATCCAGCTCCCTGCTTGTGATCTGGGAAAGAAGTTAAGGATGGCCCAAAGCCTTGGGATCCTGAGCCCTTATGGGAGACCCTGGAGGCACTCCTAGCTTCAGATCGGCTCAGCACCAGCCATTGTGGTTACTTGGGGAGTGAACCAATGAATGGAAGATCTTTCTCTCTGTCTCTCCTTCTCTATATAAATCTGCCTTTCCAAGAGAAATAAATAAATAAAACAACTAGGAAGCATAGCATTTCATAAAGGCCTCCCTGGTAGGCACAGGAGTCCAGAGGCTTGAGCCGGCTTCCACTGCCTCTCAGGTGCACGAGCAGGGAGCTGGAGCAGAAGCAGAGCAGCCAGGACTCAAGCTAAGGCCCCTGTGAGACACAGTGCTGGTTTTGGAGATGTCAGTTTAACCCACAAAAGAGGTTCAGCCCCTCTTTCTTCATTTTTCTAGAAAAATTAAGGCATATGTGTAACAGGCTCCTGGAAAGATTAAGGGGTGGCTTTAATGAGAAACCTTTGAGTTAGAGTCATCAATGTGTGCAGACTAATGGGATTGTGCTTTGCGTCTGAATATAATCCTGAGCATCATTAAAATGGGTCATTTCTCCAGTTTGAATTTGGGGTTCATTATGACAAATACCACAATTTTTTTTAATTTTGAACCATATGTATAACAGATGCAACATACACAATGCTATAATCACTGTATTCTGTTTTCTAATAGGATGTTGATGCTACAAATCCAAACTATGAGATCATGTGCATGATCAGAGACTTCAGAGGAAGTTTGGATTATAGGCCTTTAACAACAGCGGATCCTGTAAGAGTCTTTGTGAACCATTGCTTTGTTTTGTTTTTCTCTCTAAATAACCGCTTGGATTTTATACCCATTAAGTTTATATTGTTATTAGTTAGTTCATTTTCCCCTGTCCAATGGGTGTTCTCTCCAAGAAAACAGCACTTGCATGTTCATCTCCTGTGATTTGCTGTATTATGGTGTAATGGGGCTCTTTTCAGAGCAGAGTCCCCTTTTGGAAGGGCAGAGCAACTAAAGAGACACATGTCGGAAAAGCCATATTCCTTCCCAACCACACCTGACTTCATCCAAGCTCCAAGCATGTTTCCCCTTCGGCTTGGACTGCAGAGCCCGCCATCACTCCTGTTTGTTGTTAGTTAATTCATTGCTTGAAATAAATGCCTTTCTAACTCTTAAGAAATGATGAACCAAAAACTTGCTGGAAAATGTTCTCACTTATTAGTCCATCTCCTTTTCTACTGAAGAATGAGGATTTAGTACACAGGGAATATTAACTGTGAATAATTGATACAACAATCCACCTCGCCTAGCGTCTGATGCACGTTAGTTAGCAGAAATACATCTGTGCTAGGCAGGTGTTAGGATTTAATAGAATTGTTGACACTCACTTAAATAAAATACCTGTTTTTCTAGATTGATGAACACAGGATATGTGTTTGTGTGAGAAAACGACCACTCAATAAAAAAGGTATGAAACTCGTTAAGCTATACCACATGGTTCATTCTATCTTACTCATAGTATATTTTGATAACAGCACAAATCAGATTGGTTTGGAAAAGTTAAAATGTTAGGTTCTTTTGTTTTTCAGTGACGTGCGTGTCGCTGTGGCTAGACCTCTTTGTTAGTGCTTTGAATCGCCATTCATAGTTCTTGCTTCACAAAACTCTAGACTTTTTTTGTTGTTGTTGTTATTGAAATACTCTGTCTTGAATGAGGTATTTATTGCAGTTTATACTTACAGGTCTTACTATTTTTATTTTGAATTCACTTTTGTATATGAAGTCAAATGCTGTGAGGGTTACTGAGCATTGATTTTCATTTATTCTTTTAGAAACTCAAATGAAAGATCTTGACGTGATCACAATCCCTAGTAAAGATGTCGTGATGGTGCATGAACCGAAACAAAAGGTAGATTTAACACGGTACCTGGAAAACCAAACGTTTCGTTTTGATTATGCCTTTGACGACTCAGCTCCTAATGAAATGGTTTACAGGTAGGTACATTTGTTTTAAATCAGAATCTTGGTTTCCTGCTGAAACTTAATGTTTCTCTTAGTGTGGTTCTCTGCACGTGTAATAGGTTTCTTCATTCTGATGTTAAATAGAAGAAAATGTAGTGATGCTACAATGAATATTAATAGTTGCTGTTTGTCATAAAACTCCAAATCAGTTTTTTTTATTGATCATGTGGGAAGCTTCACTTGAGTTTCAGGGACTTGGGCCTTTGGGGATGAACAAGAAGATAGAAGAGATCTCTCTCTTCTGACTCTCAAATACAGGAACTTTTTTTAATGTTTTTCATACAGAGTTAAGAACATGAAGATTGCTCCTGCCACGTGTTCAGCTTCATCCACATGGGCAGTTAGCCGCTCTCTGTGGATGTATTTTCTTATTTGAGAATAACCCAAAGATTTGGTTGTAAATAAAGAGAGTGAGAGAAAGCATAATCATACTTGCCTATTCACCCTACACTTCCCTTCTTGTTCCCATTTTTCTAATTTTTTACAGTGACATACTTTCAGTCTGGTTTATAATCATAACCTAAACCCACCACTAAACAAATGATTCAACAGGTAGTAATTAGAAAAACCACTGTTACTTTATAAAATTGTAAGAAAACCAACAACCGAATGAAATACCAACTTCCCTGGGCTTTGCCAGGAAAGGGGGAGGTCAGTGGCAAACAGAAGATCACAGAATTGGTGTCTGCCTGGCCCGGGAAGGTGAGGAACGCAGTGAAGAGTTAAGGATTTGTCATTGTACCCTGCGGGATTTGTAGTCACTGAGAAGGGTGCTGTCCCTCCGTCCTCCCCGGCTCTGTCCTAGAAAATGTCAGTGTGTTTGATTTTCCTACTGGTTTTCAAGACCAGATCTGAGGACGGGAGTCAGGAGCCAGGATCTGGTCTGCTCTGGCCATTATGGCCACTTCGGGAGTAAACTAGCAGATGGAGGATCTTTCTGTCCCTGTAAATCTGCCTTTCCAATAAGAATAAATAAGTCTTTGGGGAGGGAAAAAACAGGGAAGCCATGTAATAATATTCTACTTACAGGTTTGTTTTGTATTGTACTTGTCAGTGCTCTGTATGGTGAAGTTGTATTTCTTTTCCCTGTGCACCTTTTTCTCTCAACTCTAATGGTGGATTAAACAAATTTGCTCACAGGTAATCATAATATTTAGTCATCCTTTTGTTGAGTCAGAATTGTCAAATCAGACCTTTCATCAGACCTTTCATCAGACCTTTTGATCTTAGCCAAAAGGTCAAGAAGCAATAGATTCCAAACCCTATAAGCATAATTTATGTTGTTTTCCTTAAGTGTAAATTTTTATGTCTACATTCAAGATCATCCTCACTTTTCTACTGATTGAGAATACCTAAACATAATATTTTTATAGGTTCCTCCTTGACTATTTTTTCTCTGTTGGCTAATGACCACTCTGGGGGTTAGCATTTGGCCCGCAAGCTGATGCCACTTCTCGGGATATGCGCATGTCCTGTCACAGTGCTTGGTCTGAGTGCCAGTTCCTCTGCTTGCTATCTGCCTTCTTTCTAATGCATCCTAAAGGCAGTGGATGACAGCTCCAAGTGGTTGGGTCCCTGCCACCCACATGGGATACGTAGATTGAGTTTGGGCTTGTAACTTCAGCCTGGCCTACACTTGGGTTTTGCGAACAGTGTGGGGCCTGGCACCCTAGTGGGAAACTGGGTGAAGCTCCTGGCTCTTGGCTTCAACCTGTTGCAGCTGTTTGTTGAATGAACCAGTGCATGGAATCTCTTCCTCTGTCTTTCTGCGTTTCGAATGAAATGAAAAGTAAATTTTTGAAGTAATTACTATACTTTGATTCTGTTTCTGTCAGAATTGTAATTGATACTTGTAGTTTTTTGTTGTTGTTGTTTTGACATCATTATTAGTGTGGACATTCTTTGGAAACTATACTATAAAACTTAAGTAGCTTTTAGCAGTTGTATTAGAAGATAGGTTTATTTTTGTGCAAAAGTTCTGATATTTTCTTTTGAACATTTTGAAAAGATACTTCATGTATGTGGGCTCAAAATTTCTTGCACCAAAATAAGTTTACTTTTTTTTTTTTAAGGTTTATTTGATTATTTAGAAGGCAGAGTTGCTGAGGTGACAAGGGAGCAGCAGAAGCAGAGCAAGCTCGTTTCCCATATAGTGCCACAGTGGCCAGAGCGGGGCCAGCTGGGGGCCAGGAACTTCACCAGCTTTCCCACCTGTGTGTAGGTGCCCGTGTGGGCCACCCTTCCCTGCCTTTCCCAAGCACGTAAACATTGGACGTGGAGGAGCTGGGACTCAGACCTCTTCCCATATGAGATGCCAGTGCAATAGGTGGCAGCCCTACCCACTATGCCAATAAAGTTGCTTTTTGAATTCCATTTCCCACGAACGTTTTGAAATACCCCTGTGAAGTTATTTAAATTTTTCATGAAGATTTGTTTAAAAATTTGTCATAAGTTTTATTAATAATGAACTTTGTTATTTGCTGTAACTTTCCTATTTTTTTTAAACTGTCAGCATGTTCTGAGTGCTGGATTTTATTTTGAAGGTTTACTGCTAGACCACTGGTGGAAACTATATTCGAAAGGGGAATGGCTACGTGCTTTGCTTATGGGCAGACTGGAAGTGGAAAAACTCATGTAAGTAATGTATTCAGGTTACGTCCTGGTGTGGAGCTGCACTTTCTGTCCCTTACAGCTCGCTTCTGAGATCTCAACACTTGCTCCTGAATAATAGCTGTTATTCTTTATTCTCTTTTTAAAATACAGACTATGGGTGGTGACTTTTCAGGAAAGAATCAAGACTGTTCTAAAGGAATTTATGCATTAGCAGGTAATTTTCCTTTTCATAGTTTATGACATTCTTGGGTATTATTCCAGCAGCTATATGCTGTAGTCAGTATTTATGATGTCGTTTTTAGGTTTTCAGTTGCTCACAAGGAACTGTTAGTTCTGGAGGACAGAAATCTTAACTATATGAGGGCACTTCACAAAGTTCATGGAAAAATGCATTTTATGGCAAGACTAAGTATACGTTTCAAACAACTTTCTTTAAAACATTGACTTCATTTATTTGAAAGGCAGAGTTAGAGAGAAAGAGAGCTCCTCCATCCATCCTGTTTCACCTCACAATGGCTGCAGCAGGTGGGGCCGCGGGAGGTCACAGCCGGGACTTGCATCCCACTTCCCACGCTGGTGCACAGGGGCCCGAGGACACAGCCCAGAGCACACTGTTTTCTCAAGCACATTAGTAGGGAGCTGGTTTGGAAGCAGAGCGTGGGATGCCTATGATAGGTGGCAGCTTAACCCGTTATACCTCAACCCCAGCCCAAGGATAAAAATTTTGTGCCAGAATTAAACACCATTTTATTCCATTTTCCTCTAAACTCTTTTTGTTAGTGTAGTCTGGTACATTTGGTGGAGATTACTTTTAATCGTTTGGTGGCTAAGCTATAAAAAGGTTCCATTTGCTGTATTTGATGTGTCTTAATAGTTTCCTGTATATGACGTTTTTGACAGCTCGAGATGTCTTTTTAATGCTCAAGAAGCCGAACTACAAGAAGCTAGAACTTCAAGTATATGCAACCTTTTTTGAAATTTACAGTGGAAAGGTAAGGGGAAATTTTTAATTTTAGCTTTTGTAGTAAACTAGACAACAGCATAAGATGTGCCCACGTTTACTGCTTCTAAGGGTGTTTTCACTCAGCGGCATGTACTTTATTCGCTGTGCTTTGCAGCCCTCATGATGGCAGATGTTTTGTTTTACTTACTTATTTGTTTAAAAGGCAGAGCAACAAAGAGGGAGAGACAGAAAAAGAGGTGAAGAGCAAGGTCCTGTCTGCTGACTCGCAGCCCAAGTAGCTGCCGTGGCAGGGTCTGGGGCAGGGCAGAGCCAGGGGCCGACACCTCCGAGTCCCCTGCTGTGGGCAGTGGGTGCTCAGGTGGATGGGCTGTCTTCTCTGCCATTCCACGCACGTTTCAAGAAGCTGGATGGGAAACAGAGTTGGCGGGACTCGGGTAGCAGCACTCTGACAAGCGGCCAGTCTCTGGCCATGCCACGACACTCACCCCACAGAGATGTTTCCTGTGTATCTGGAATGTTCTCTTAGAATTTACGTCGTGAGTTTGCTGTGTTAATGAGCATTAAGAGTCTTCAAACTCATTAAGTGTTATTATTGTGATATTATTTTTGTTGGTGAAATGTTTCCTCTGGTGATTGAGTTTAATTTGAATATGGCTTTTCACAGGTATTTGACCTGCTAAATAGGAAAACAAAATTAAGAGTTCTGGAAGATGGAAAGCAGCAGGTTCAAGTGGTAGGATTACAGGAACGTGAGGTCAAATGTGTTGAAGATGTTCTGAAACTCATTGACATAGGCAACAGCTGCAGGTAAACCTCATTTTGATTAAGAAAGGGAAGTTTCAGTTTATTTTTAGTATTACTTTTTTATTGGAAAATCAGATAGAGAGGAAGATCTTCCGTCCACTGATCCACTCCTCTCAGTGTGTCTGACTTTCCAATTAAATTAATAAAAAAAAAGAAAACAAACAAACAAAAAAACCAGATAAGTTCTTTAACATGGTTTGTGTGGGTTGGAAATAAAAATCATTATAAATTTTTGTGTTACATATAGATTTGAGTGACATCTGTTGTGCTGATACCATACTCGCTAATGTATTTCAAGTTTGCCGGGTGTGTGTGTGTGTGTATCTTGAATCTGGCTATACCAAGTGTCTCTTCTGTATTTAATGCTTAACATTGACTAAATTGTGGGGGAAGGATGTGTTGCTTTTTATTCTAACAAAACTATCATGCTTTGGACAAGTAAATGAAAGCCTTTGTGTAACAAGATGTCCTTGATTGCGTTGTAGAACATCTGGTCAGACATCTGCAAATGCGCATTCATCTCGGAGCCATGCAGTGTTCCAGATTATTCTGAGAAGGAAAGGAAAACTACATGGCAAATTTTCTCTCATTGACTTGGCTGGAAACGAAAGAGGAGCCGACACCTCCAGTGCGGACAGGCAGACCAGGCTGGAAGGTGCTGAGATTAATAAGAGCCTTTTAGCACTCAAGGTGAGGACAGCGCACTCAGTCCTGAAGGATCTCGCACTGTTGACTTGAATTTCATTTATTCAAGTGCAAAATAGTTTTACCTTAAAAAAGAGGTTTAAAATTCACTCTGTTTGCCCTTGACAGTTTTAGATTTTAGTCTACCTAGTTGTCATTTGTGCACATTGTATTTCTTCCTTTACCATGGGAAAAAAAAAAAAAACACAAGGTTAAAAAAAAAACACAATAATTCATTCTTTGCACTTATTTTTATTTGAAAGACAGAGCTACAAAGAGGAGAGATTGGGAGTGGCCTTAACAGCTGGATCTAAGCTGATCCAAAGGCAGGAACCAGACCTTCTTCTGGGTCTTCCACATGGATGCAAGATGCCAAGGGCTTGAGCCATCCTCCGCTGCTTTCCCAGGCTGCAAGCAGGGAGCTGGATGGCAAGTGGAGCAGCTTGGACATAAGTGGCATCCATATGGAATGCCAGTGCCATAAGTTGGGGCATAGCCCAGTATGCCAAAGTGCCATTTTCAAAATTTAGTTGTTTATAGTTAATCCTACTGCTTGTCACTTTTAAAAAGGTTTAGACAGTCATAATTTCCAGGATTATCCTTTGGAATTGTAAAGTTGGTTTGTTATTCACTTTATTAACATCTTTAAAATGTTGTAAAACTGCTTTTCTATTTTCAGAGCTGGCCAGACCTTCAGTGTTAAAAGTTAGAGCAATAAGGTTGTTAAGTTCATTAGGATTTCTCTTGGTTAAGACAGTCTAATCTGTGAGGCTTGCTTGCCTGTTTTGCAGGAGTGCATCCGAGCCTTAGGTAGAAATAAACCTCACACTCCTTTCCGGGCGAGTAAACTCACTCAGGTGTTAAGGGACTCCTTCATAGGCGAAAACTCCCGGACCTGCATGGTGAGTTCGTGCTTGTCGTTTTTACTTGTTTCTTTTTTTTTTTTTTTATTGTTAATAATATTGTATTATGTGATACAGTTTTATAGGCACTGGGATTCCCCCTACCCCTCCCACAACCCTACCCCCATGGTGGATTCCTCCACCTTGCTGCATATTCACAGTTGAAGTTCAATTGGGATTCATTCATTGCAAGCATATACCTAGCATAGAGTTCAACAGCTTGTTTCATTTTAATCCTGAAGAAAGAACTACCTGGTATTTGCAGAAAGTCATGAAGTGTCTCAATGGCAACAACTTGATTTCTCCTTGTGAGGAATACAGTAGCGTTTTAAGATGCGGTGCCTGGTCCATCCAGTAGAGGATGGTGTGGCGGCTACAGCGCGTGCTGCCACTAACAGGCCGCAAAGGCTGGGTGTCGGGCCGTCCCGCAGGCTGCTTCCTTCTAGATGTTCATTGAACTTTTCAGCTGGAGTTGATGATTGCCTCATGCCTTCAGACAGTTGCTGTGTGTTAACCAGGCTTCATGTTTGTTATCTGATGGTGGGTATGAAATGGCATGTTACAAGTTCAGAAGAACATCACGAGAACTTTAAATACTGTTGTGGGGTTAACAAATAAGTTTTCTAACAGTATTATTGTCTTGCTCATTTATGTTTTCTTAACTTCCAAATCTTCTTCCTAGATTGCCACAATCTCTCCAGGAATGGCATCCTGTGAAAATACTCTCAATACATTAAGATATGCAAATAGGTATGAGAATTGTTTCTTAAGTCTGAAATTCAAGGGACCCAGTATAGCACATAGCATCGTTTAATGTCTTAACTGTGGTGTTCTTTCAATTTTGGGAAAAAGAAAACTTTCGAACTAATCGAGGTAATATTTAGACTCATTTTTGTCCAATTCTAAAAATAAATGGAAATGTGTTTTAAAATTTAGGCAAAGATACAGATATTTTTAGTAAAATTGGTCTTTCTGTCCATTTCAGCAAGTTATATTTTATGATACTTTATTACACTTAAATCAAATAGATTCTTCCTGCTGTATTAACACTCTCAAGCAGGGGGTGGGAAGGCCTTTTTTCTACCAACAGCAATTTGAATATTTATAACTCAAGGTTATCAGCCGGTATAGACTGGTTCAATTTCCAAATCCTGCCTGCAGTCACACAGACCAGACCAAATGCCTTGAGACCACACACTATTCTTTCCCAGGGGGAGTGGGAACCCTGGGCCGGTCTGCATTCCTTCAGCTGTTCTGGCGTATGCTGGCCATTATTCCCGACACTATGAAATGTTGCGTATCAGGAGTTCAGGAGTCTAGGTCTGAGTCGGGAGTGAACGCGCAGTTCTTTGTGGTGTTCTTGTGTGGTTCACTTCTGTTGCTCCTGTCATTGGAGTTGATGGAAAGAGAAAATTCACCACACAGTAGCGAAGCAGTTTATTCCTTAAACTCATGGAGTATCCTTGGAATTTGGGTTATTTTGTAATTTGGTCTGTAGATTTGTTTTCCCTAATGTTCATGTTTATATAGTTTTAAATTTCTGTTTTCACCTGTTAGCATTTGTGATTTTAATATATAGAGAGATAAAATTATTCGTTACAATGTATTTCTAGTGTAGAGATTTTCTTAATGTTTTTTCCTGTCTCTTTGTTTTAATAATGGAACTGTATTTTTATTAAAATGTGAAATATACATACATACAGAAAAATATCCAAACCGTAAGTGAATGTAACGAATATTTGAATAGTCACAAGATGGGGAATTCCTGCTGTCACCTTGGGAAATAAAGCCTTAGTCCCCCGTGTCCCCAGCCTTGCTCGCGTGTGTTCCTTCGAGAACGTAGACTAACCAACAGGACCCAAACCATTCATCTCTGCCCCATAACCATTATTCTCACTTCTTTGGAGCATCTTTCTTTATTTCTTCTCCTTTTAAAACTGATTTTTTATTACCTGTCTATCTGTTCTTGAATGACACTGAGCTATGTTTGGATTTAGCCTAAACTTAGCAAGACAGGCCTTTTAGTTCCTTACACTTCCTGCATTTGCCTCAACAGAAGAGTCTCCCAGATAATAAACACTGCTGGAAAGTATAGACCTTTTGTTAAAAACATGTAACATAGCTTCGTTTTAAAAATTTAATTTCTTAAAGTTTGAATTATAAACTTTTAGCTGAAAACTTGTGTTTTTTTTTTTGATTGTGGGAGTTTTCCATCATTAATGTTAACCAAAGTGCTTATTTTAATATTTTCTGAGGAAGTGAAGGCTTACTAGTAGTAAAATATATTGAAGAATTAAAACAAGCATAAGCCCTCTGTGTTTTAAAATTTCATTTTGCAAAGAATTCCCCCATCATAAAAATGCCGTTCTAGTTGACCATCTCTAATCCACAATGCGTGGGCCCAGAAGTGCTTGAGGCGTCAGTGTTTTCCAGATTTGGAACACTTACATACTTACATGTATGTGGTGAGATATCTTGGGTTTGGAACCCAGATATCAACATCCATTTATGTTGCATGTACACCCTATACACATAGTTTGGTGGTAATTGTATTTAGTATTTTTAGTGCACATGCACTTTAATGTTGTGACTCATCAGATGAGATCAGATAGGGAACTTTCTGGTTGTGGCATCTGCTCCAAAAATTTTGGATTTTAGGGAGCTGGCACCAGCGCTCGATGGGCTGATCCTCCACCTTCAGGTGCCAGCACCCCAGGTGGGCGCTGGTTTGTGTCCCAGCTGTTTTAGTTTCCATCCAGCTCCCTTGTGGCCTGGAGTGGCAATAGAGAATGGTCTATAACATTGGGACCCTGCACCCACGTGGAAACCTGGAGGAGGCTCCTGGCTCCTTGCTTCAGATCAGCTCAGAAGATCTTTCTCTCTTTCTCTCCTTGTCTCTGGAAATATGCCTTTCCAATCAAAATAAATAAATGTTTTTAAAAATTTGGAGGGTGGATTTTGGACCTAAGGTATTCAGACTTTTAGAGTAACATGCTCAAATTGTAGCTGTTCCACTGGTTTGTTTGGGTCCAAGGAAAGTGTTTTAACTTACAGAATGTATTTAACTCCATATGTCTAAGAATAAAAGACATTTACCTTCCCTTGACAGTTTCATGCCAATGTTCATAACCTAAGAGTCAATAATTGTATTTTTTTACAACTAAGGAGAATCCACTCCTCTTTAATGTTAAATCTGCCCCATGTTGGATAGTTATGTATTTTGAGATTAAGCTTTATTTATTTTAGGAGATTGTTATCCCTTAAGTCTGTATACCTTGTGTGTCTTTAGAAAGGGGATGTCTATCTTTAAGTGTTCTTGAAGGATGAAGAGATGGTCTGTGTGTAAGGCGTAGCATAGTGCTTAGATGGAGTAAGTGCATTAATCGTTATTGCTGCTGCAGTTTGCTCGTGTGCCTGGGAAGGCAGCAAAAGGTGGCCCGTGTGTTTAGTCCCCTGCCACACACATGGGGTACTTGATGGAATCTGAGCTTTCAGCAACAGTCTGGCCAGGACCCGTTGTTGGGGTCCTTTCGGGAGAGAATGAACAAATGGAAAAGAATCAGTTCTCTTTCTATGAGCAAACAAATAGATAAATCAGATGAGAAAATGGAATATATTAGAGGCAAGTAAAGTACAAAACCTGCAGAAGTAGTAGTTGGTGCACAGAGAAGTAAAACACAGTGAGAAACATGCAGTCACTTCTGTCCTGAAGCATTTGGGGGAAAAAAAAAACAACTTTCATAGTTATTTGATTTTTTAAGGTTTATTTTATTTTATTTGAAAGCAGAGTGACCGGGTTGGTAGAGTGGGGGAGTGGACTTGAGCCATTTTCTGCTACTCTCCTAGGTGCATCAGAGAGCTGGATTAGAATCAGAGCAACTGGGACTTGAACTGGCACCACACTATATGATGCTTAGTGTGGCGGGCAGCAGGTTAACCCACTATGCCACAGCCTTGGTGCCAGAAACTATAATCTTTTTATAATGGCAGTGATTGGGTCGTGGCTGGAAAAACCACTAAGAATTTTTTAACTGAATATTTGTGGAGTATGATTTCTGAATATAGTTTGGTTTGGCTTGGATAAAAGGATTTGGATATAGGTTGTGTGTGGGTGGAGCTAAAAGAGCATCTAAGTTAGGAGATCCTGAGGCAGATAAGAAATGGGGTTGAAAGTTAAGTTAGTATTAAAAGTTTAGTTGTTTTTTTTAAGTGGTAAAGTAAACTTTTCATATTAGTTTATTTTAAAGGATTAAGGGTAGATGAATCTAATATTGAACTTTTGAGAGTTGATATTACCAATAAGCCAACTACCTTAACTGGAAGATATACTCATCTAAGTTTAATCTATATGGATTCTTATGACTGGCTATTATTGACCTATACAGAATGGAAATCCCATTTAGTCATTCTAAGAAATAAGGAGAAAAAAATTTGGATAGTGTGTTGTAATATTTAAGCAACATCAGACTGGTTCTCAGTAAGGCCTCGTAAGCCACGTTTCTTACTGAGGTGAGGCCTTGGGTAAGCTACTTCATTTCTCTGGATGGTATTCTCATCTTTAAAATGGAGATAATACTGTAAGGTGTTATTAAGACTTCATAATATAATGCCTAAAAATTACCAATCCTGATACTTGGCATACCGTAAGTACTTGGGGAATACCACCTGCTACTTTGAAATGCGGTTGAGCCAGAAAGGACCTAGGGAATCATAGATGGGGTGAGAAAAGTTGTAGTCAGGTTAATTGTAACTAAGAGAGACATAGCAAAAAACAGTTTAAATTCCATTGCTGAAGATCGTTCTCCATCGAGGTTCTTCACCTGAATCACCAACCACAGAGAACTGACTAAGGATGCTGCATAGCTAATCCCATTCTAGAGTATAGGAAACAAATTAACTCATTACATTGAATGTCTGAATAATTAGAACTTAATTCTCTCATGTCTTTTTTTGTTTGAAAAAGATTATAAAAATATTAGGTTGATTAATGCTAATAAAATATTCATGAGCTAACCATGAGAGGAATTACATCAAGACATTTCAGATTTAGATGGTAGCCTGGTTTAAATTCTTTGTCTCCTCCCCTCCCCTCCCCTCTCCTCTCTCCTCTCCTCTCCTCTCCTCTCCTCTCCTCTCCTCTCCTCTCCTTTGTCTTTCTCCCTCCCTTCCTTCTTTCTTTCCTTTCTTCCTCTTTCCTCTTCTTTCTTTCCTCTCTCTTTCTTTCTTCCTTCCTTCCTTCCTTCCTTTCTTTCTTTCTTTTTTTTCTTTCTTTCTTTCTTTTTTTCTTTCCTCCCTCCCTTCCTTCCTTCCTTCCTTCCTTCTTCTCTTTCTCTTTCTTTTTCTCTCTTTCTTTCTCCTTTCTCTCTTTCTCTCTCTTTCTCTCTTTCTCCTAAGCAAGATTATGAGAGAGGGTCACAGTGTACCAAAAAGGAAGGATTTAAAACAATAAGACAGAGGGTTTCATAAATCTTCTTAAAGTTGATTCTCTGTAAGTTGGTATTCTGAATACATTGTCACATAATGTTGATGTAATTTTCTAAACAAAACTGCATACTAAATGAAAACATGAAATGTGGGTTGCTATGTTTACAAGAGCATTTTTCTTTTACTTTGTTGCTGTTTTGGTGCTGCAGAGTAAAGGAGTTTGGAATTAGTCCATCAGACATTCCCTTCTCACAGGGTACTGGCAGTCGCCCCGATCTCTCTCCTTCCTATGAGTATGACGACTTTTCTCCTTCGATTACCAGGTCTACTTCATTCAATCCCTAAGATATTTGTTCTACTAGTTTCTTTTGAACTGTGCTGTATATAAACATTTCATTTACTTTTGTCCTAAGTCATTTGATTTTTCCTGTTCATTTCATTTGGCAGGTGGTGGTTGTAATGCATGGCCTACATTTTTATGTCCTTTATTAATTTATTTGCTTTAAAGTATTCATTTAAAATTCAGGCTTCCTGTTTCCCCTCATGTTTTTTAAGTATGATGTCACTTTTGCACAGTTATCTTTGAAAAAGAAATTGTCTTGTTTAAAATGAAGAGTTTACCTCCGTTCACTTATATACTTACAGATTTCCTTGTTGGCAAGGAAAAAATCAAAGATCTCTATGACTTTTAAAATGTACTCTTGCCCAGATGTTTAAATTCAAGTGTACTGAGTAAACACTTTTTTAAGTGATGGAATGTTAAATTTTTTCTCATACTTCTGTTAATTAGCATTACTATGACCAGAAAATAATGATCCATTTGATGACCTCAATGTCTATATAGTTTGCTGGTTATCATTTCTTATGTACAGTAATTATTTCTGAAATAGTTATAAAATTGGTGGAGTGGATTCCTAAAATTAAACAACCCAACCTCCCTTTGAAGGGTTTTGACACACGTTTCTGTTAAAAATAGATATAAAGGTGACATCATCAATCATAGTATGCTAATTGAATTGCGTTTGTATTATTCAGTAGGTTGGTATGTTGGTGTTCTTTGGGAGTCTTTGTTGATGTCCGGTCCTTCCTGTATGTTTCTAGGGTGAAAGAACTGACTGTAGATCCTACTGCCGCTGGTGATGTCCGTCCAATAATACATCACCCTCCCAGCCAGATTGACGATGTCGAGGCCCAGTGGGGTGTGGGGAGTTCCCCTCAGAGAGATGATCTCAAGCTGCTCTGTGAACAAAATGTGAGTGCTTTCATATGCCTGAGATTAATTCAGTCTTGGTTTATTTCGTGGTGACAGAGTTACTGATTTAGATTGAAGGTTATCATCTAAATCAAGATTTAGCAAATGATAGCTTATGGACCATTCAACCAGTTTTACTAGTAAAGTTTTCTTGAAACATAGCCATGATTATTCCTGTGTAGCACCCACACCAGTGATAACAGGCTATATAGCTCACAAGCTCAGACTGCACACTAAATGGTTCACTAACCTGATGCAAATGGTGGCTTTTCCAGAGTTTATGCCAGCATTAAAATTGGGGGATTTTAAAAAGCAACATTGGAAAAAGCAGATTTAGGAATTTTTCTCTCAGCGCCAAAGTGATTGCTCAACTGATCCTTCACCTGCTCGGGGTCTGGGAAAGCAGTGGAGAATGGCCCGGGGCCTTGTGTGGGGAACCTGAAGGAACTCCTGGCTTCAAAGCAGCCTAGCTCTGACCATTGTGGCCATTGAGAGAATGAACCAGCAGACAGAAGTCTCTCCTTTTCTATATACATCTTTCTAGTAAAAGTAGTCCGATATTAAATATATATAGATTATATATTTGAAGTAAACTTTATGGAAGTAGTAGCACTTGTCTAATTTTGAAGCAAAGGAAAGAAATAGGATAATGTAGGCTTTGGGGAAGTGGCCAGAAAAATAAGTAAAGGTGTAATATGAGAGAGAGTATGTCTGTGTTTATTCAAAGTATAGGGAGAATTTGATAAACTTCCCGCATGTCCTGTTCAAAAATAAGTACATGTTTTCCCAAAGAGAAAATTCTTACTAACTTGGTTACATAAAACTTTTCATAGAAAAGTTTTGTTTATTTTTATTTGAAAGGCAGATTTATAGAAAGAAGCAAAGAAAGGAAGAAAGATATTCCATCTAGTGGTTCACTTCCCCAAATGGCCAATCTGAAGTCAGGAGCCAGGAGGTTTTTATGGGTCTCTCATCTAGATGCAAGGGCTCAAAAATGGAGCCATCTTCCACTGTTTTCCCAATCCATAAGCCAGGAGCTGGATCAGAACTGGAGCAATTGGGACTAGAAATGGCACTCACTCGAGACGGACAAGCAAAGGATTGACCTGTTGAGCCACCGCACTGGCCCCTATATAAACTTTCTTTTTTAAAAGATTTTTTAAATTTTTATTGCAAAGTCAGATATATAGAGGAGGAGAATGCTTCTCGGCCTTTTGGCTTGAATCAAGTGTACAGAGGAGGAGAGACAGAGAGGAAGATCTTCCGTCCCATGATTCACTCCCCAAGTGACCACAACGGCTTGTGCTATGCCGATCTGAAGCCAGGAACCAGGAACTTCTTCCAGGTCTCCCACATGGGTGCAGGGTCTCAAGGTCTTGGGCCATCCTCAACTGCTTTCCCAGGCCACAAGCAGGGAGGTGGATGGGAAGGAAAGCTGCCAGGATTAGAACTGGTGCCCAAATGGGATCCCGATCCTGGTGCATTCAAGGCGAGGACTTCAGCCACCAGGCCAGGGCTCTGGGCCCTGTATAAACTTTCTTGATGAAAGAGTTAAATGTCTACTTAAATGATTTAATGAAAATATGTGCATATGTTTAGAATCACATATTTGTCTTTTCAAAAATTCCTTTTTTTGGGCCCGGCGCGGTGGCGCAAATGGTTAAGTCCTCGCCTTGCACGCCCGGGATCCCATATGGGCGCCGGTTCTAATCCCGGCAGCCCCGCTTCCCTTCCAGCTCCCTGCCTGTGGCCCGGGAAAGCAGTCGAGGACGGCCCAAGGCTTTGGGACCCTGCACCCACGTGGGAGACCCGGAAGAGGCTCCTGGCTTCGGATCGACATAGTATCGGCCCGTTGCGGCTCACTTGGGGAGTGAATCATCGGACGGAAGATCTTCCTCTCTGTCTCTCCTCTCTGTATATCCGCCTTTCCAATAAAAAATAATAAAAATAAATCTTTAAAAAAAAAAAATTCCTTTTTTTACAAAACAATTTTTAAATAGGCTACATGGTTGTGTATGTCACTACATTTTTTAAAATGTCATCAGACACACTGGGAAGGAGACTTATTACAAAAGATTAGACCGGAGAAATTTTGACTTGATATTGGACCAAAATGAGTAGGTTGTGTACATTCAGGCAACAATGTTCTGAGAAATACATCAGGCAGTTTCATTGTTGGGCCTGAGCGACAGAAGAGATGCTTACATGAAGCACTGGCTGTGGAATAACGTGCTACACACATAGGCTGGATGCCTCAGTGGGCAGTAGTGTGAGTGTGCGTATGTGTGCCATAGCCTGTTGTCCCAAGAGCTGTGATGCTGAATCAGGTGCAAGAGCAGAGGTGGTGAACAGGAGGTGTGTAGCTGAATAGTGAGGAGAAATAGGAATCAATTAACCAGTAATATGATCAGTATCAAATGTTATGTATACTCTGCGTAATTGGATGTGCTTTTATATAACTAGAAGCACAGTAGGCTTACGCCAACATTATTATAAATATGAGGTATTGTATCACTATGTTAAAATGGCTACAGCCTGATAGGAATTTTTAAGCTCCATTTTATCTTAAGGGATGATCGTCGTATATGCATTCATCATTGAACAAAACTTTATTTTGCATTGCAAGACTGTGTGGTGTTGGGGGGTTTTATTTTGCTGTTCTATTTTTGGTAATAAAAGGGGTTAACAACCGATTCAAATATCTATAAAGACTGGTAAGCAAATTGTGTGCTATAATTTAAAAATTCAGCTTGAGTAAGAGTTGAGACTCTCAGAACACTAAACGTAGCCACAGTCATTAAAGATGTTGTACTTGCATTTATTTTAAGTCACCCTTATCATTCAAGCTTCCTCAAATTCAAAGTGACGTTGAAAAACGAATTGTATAACACTTGAAGTTTACGCCCTTCGTCAGTGTTTTACACTTTTTATCTCAAGGAGGAAGAGGTGTCTCCACAGCTGTTTACTTTCCACGAAGCGGTCTCCCAAATGGTGGAAATGGAAGAGCAGGTTGTGGAAGATCACAGAGCAGTGTTCCAGGTAAAGCGGAAAAGGACCTTCCTTCAGAATCTTGAGAAAATGAAATCTGGAGATTAGCTTTACAGTTGTCTTAATGCCTTTAAGATACTTGCTGGTATATACGCATGTGTGTGCTTAGAGGGCAAAGAAAAGGAGATTGATGGATGCAGATATTTCTTCTGCCTCACATTGAGAAGATGTGTTTCATTTGCAAAAACCTTTCTCCTTTGTTGTCAGCTGTCGAGTTTTAGTTGAGAGTTGAACTTCTGCCGGTGAGTTCTCTTTTCTTCAGTCTAGGCCAGCTTATTTAATGCAATTAAAAAAAAAAAAAAGAAGAGAAAAAGTGTTTTTGGAACAATTGAACAAGTCAATCTTTAGGTGAGAGTGAACTGCTCTGACTGAACCTGCAAATGGAAGATTCTGTGTCTCTCTCCTCTCTAACCCTGCCTTTTTCAAATAAGTTTTCAAAGCTACATCTTTGTTACCGACAACAAAATCAGTAAGTCTCCATTTGCCCAGATATTCACTGCCAACTCTTTGCTGGGGGTGGGTTGATTTGTTCTGTCCTCCATCCTCTGTTATGGTATCAGGTGTCCTCTGCAGGCTCCAGTGTACTGCCATTTCCTCCATGTGCACCTGGCTATGCTGTCTGTTTAAGCCACTGAGGAGGCCCAGCTCTGACACTTGCATTCCTCGGTCAGACCATGGAACCTGTAATTTTCTCCAGGGTTGGAATATGAGTCCAGCAGTTCCGTTGGGGGAGTCACAAAGAAACTTCATTTGAGGCGATCTCAGACTTGATTCTTATGTGTGCTTGTCAGTACAGGGTCCGGTATAGTCTGTTGCCCAAATTGGCCTATACACACACTGTTAGTTGCAATTGCTGGGTCACTTGTCTCTAGCCCTGTCTTCTCTGCAAACTGATGGGTGTTGCAGTCCAGCCTGATCCTGCCCACCACACACTCGGCCCCCATGCAAACCAGTGGGAGCTGCAGCCTAGTCAGAGTGACCCGCAATAATCCCCACCAGGCCCGCCCCCTGCCCTGGTTCCCGTGCTTGCCAGTATGTATAGCAGACTGGTCCAGTCTGTCCCACATCCCATTCAGCTCTCATACATGTCAGAGAGCATTGAAGCCTTGTTCAACTCAACCAGTCCCCCTATCAAGCCCAAACATGTGCCAGCGGGTGCTACTCTGTCTAGTCATGCCTGTCCCAATCCTGAGCCAAAGGAAAGCATGTGGGTACCATAGCCTGACCTGGTCTGAGTTGCTCCCTTTCTTGGTTCTTGCGCTCACCTGCAGGGACTGTCCTGACAGAGGAGTTCCCCAGGCTCCTCCATCAGAACCTCTCCCAGTGCCAGATATCAGCGCACATCAGTGAGTCCATGGGCCAGTCCTACATGGTCCACCTACTGTTCTAAGAGGAACAATAGCTTTTCCTGACTAGCCCTCACCCATTCTGGTTCTTATTGTTGGGTGCTACAGCCCAGCCAAGCCTGGTCCATACCCAGACACAGCTCACACATGGCTCAGCAGGGACAGAGACCTAGCCCAGCCCATCCTACACCCATCCTGGTTCTCACAAACTCCAATGGATGCTGGAGTCTAGCCCAGTCTGGCACACCCCAGACCCAGTCCACACCCATGCCGAGGGAGACTGCAGCCATGTCCAGACCAGACCACAGCCCCCACTCCAACATCCACGCTCACCAGTGGGACCCACAGCCCAGCCAAGGCATCTCCTTAGCTCCCCAGTCAGGCCTGTTCCCAGCTACAGATCTCGCGCATGCCAGTAGTTGCTCTGACCCAGCTTGGCATAGTCTCTCTCCTGTCTTGGCTTTTGCCTTTGGATGTTGCAGTCTGGCCTGGCCCAGCCGGCCCCCAGTCCTAACTCACTGGTGGGTGCTGCAACCTGGCTCTGCTCAGTCTGCTCTCATCCTTGTCTCATGCAAACCAGTAGGTGTGGCAGCCTAGTCCAGCATGACCTGTACTCCACCCTGGTTTCTGCACTTACCAGTGGTTTGCTTGGCCCTACCCAGTCTGCCCCCTTCCAAAACCAACTCACACTTGCTGATGAATGGAGCTACCCTGCCAAGCTTGCCAAACACCCAGGCCAGTACCATGTACTTATCAGAAGTAGCTATGACCCACCAGAGGAGTTTCCCAGGTTTCCCCAATTGGGCCACTCCCAGACCCAGTTCTCATATATGTCAGTAGGTACTTGGCCCTTATCCAGCATGACCTACCTCATCCAGCCAGCCTTTGTTTGAGCTGGTGCAGCCCATCCCACTCCACACCCTGTTTTAGGGTGCTCAAACAGGTGCTGCAGCCTAGACCTCTTCCACTTGTTCCTGGTCCCAGTACTGGTGAGCATCAGTGAATTCCATGGTCACGCTAGCTCAGCCCATCACCATTCCAACTCTCAAGCTAACCAGCCGGACTTGTAGTTTCATAGGGTTGGGCCCACATATCCCCCACAGAATCCACCTTCAGACCTGGTTCTCTTGCATGCTGGTTGGTGTCATGGCCCAGTCTAATGTGACCCATCCACTGATCTGATACTCACTGTCAGGTACTGGGATCCAACCTTGCCAGACAGGCCCCCAGCCATAGCTTATGTGTAAGCTGGCGTGTGGTGGTCAGCCACGTTCCATGCCAACAAGCCCAACCCAGGACTGCCATGTGGGTTGGTGTATCAGTCTGACCAGTAAAGAGCTTAATGTCTATCCAAACCACCAGGTCTCAGTCCCCTCCCTTACCTGCAAGTACAATGACCCTGTCATTGGGTATCCCTCAGGATTCATTCCTCACCTATATTTACAGTGGCCTTATCTATGATGTCCCTAGACAGTAATACCATACCCCCAATACTCCTAAGCTTGCCACTAGGCAGCCAGCGGGCAAAGCCCAGCGCCAGTTGGCACTCTGGCCACCCAGAAGCCCAGGACCCACCCCCCGAACTCCAGCAACAATGGATGGGGAGCTTATATCCCCAGCAGGAAAGCTGGTCCGGCATGGGTTCCCCCAGCCACAGCCACATGGCTGTCCTCAGCAGCTTTCCCAGGACAGAAGCAGGGAGCTGGATGGGAAGTGGGGCTGCTGGGATTAAAACTGGTGCCCATATGGGATCCTGGCAGGTACAAAGCAAGCACTTTAGCTGCTAGGCTACCATGCTGGGCCCCACATTCTATATTGTTGTACCTGGATCAAGCCTGTTACTCCACTTGTGATGCATTCATGCATGCCCTGCAATGCAGCAGGTGATGGTTTACAAACTTGAGTTCCTGCCACCCACGTGAAGTTGCTGGCTGAGCCCAGCACGCGCTATTGTGAACACTTGGAGAGTGAACCGACAGATGGAGGATCTCTGTATGTCTCTCGTGTACCTTTCAAATAAAATGAAAAGAAACCTGAGTGTTTTTGAAGAGCCAGTGTTCAGAATTTAGTCACCCCTCGGGCTAGGTGTTTTTGTTATTTCCAGACAACTTGGAAGCATACCTGGTTTCCCCTTATTTTAGAATTGATGTTAACGTTTTGAGACTATGTCTCTTTGATATTTACGTGTTTAATTCATTCCCTTCCCCAAATCCCCACTCAAGATAGACTAGAAAAATGAAGTCATCATGCTTGACTCATCCTATGTATTTGTGTGAATTGTCTTATAATTTATTGTCTGAGTAAATTGCTTTATGTCTGAATATTTAAGAGAGCACCATCTTGAATCCATTGGATTATCTGTAACAGTGATAAATTGCTTACTGGTTATTGAATGTTTGTTCTTTCAGGAATCGATTCGATGGTTGGAGGATGAAAAGGCTCTCCTTGAGATGACTGAAGAAGTGGACTACGACGTAGATTCCTATGCCACACAACTTGAAGCAATTCTTGAGCAAAAGATAGACATTTTAACTGAGCTGCGAGGTAATTCTTTCCATTTTGGTTAACTAGTATTTGAAATCTGCTTGGTGTTAGTCTGTGCGTTAGTGGGAGGCTTTCATATCTCAAGACAACATGTTGAGTGGAAATTGCTGGCATCTTTAGCACTGTCCCTCAAATTAGACAAACCAGCCATTCTATTCTGTAAAAATATGGAGTGTCACTTCCACTTCTGTCTTATCATATTTTGTCTTTATCCTTTTGAGATTAAGATAGCTTACATTTGATTAAAGAGGAGGGATTGGAGAAGCTGTGCATTTTGCTTTGCCCTCTCAGGTCTGATTTGGCCATGTGTCTGTCTGGGGCCAGGTCTATTGAGATGTGTCTTCCTCCGGTGCCACCTGACATGTTTCTTCATTACAAGTGGAACGACGAAGGGAAGCATGTGGTTTTGTACACACCATGTATTTTTGGCTTTCTCATTGGCTTACCTATTTAGACCAAGTATTTGTTTCTTGTATGTGAATTTCTCAGGCAGTGGCAAATTACCGGTTGTTTAGATGCCAGGAGGCATCTCCATGTATGTGTACATAGATTCAAATGGCCAGTTTTTAACAGCAAATAAACTGTACATTTTTAAGTCCTTCATGAGTTGATTATACAAAATAATTCCTTATGAAACCAGCAGTGGCTGTCTCCTTATATAGTACATGCTTTTCATATGCATGCCTTGATTTAAATTGATCATTTTGCTAATCTGCAAGAATTCACAGCTTTTTTTATTTTATGTGCATTTGTTCAGGAGACCATACACACTCGAGTATGTTTTTCTTTGTAATATATAGCATTTCACTTGACTCTGTTTTTCTTAAATTCCTGTAACTTTGAAGAAGTTTGCCTTCTAGATAGATAACTCAACATCTTATTTTCACCATTTAGAGAGAACATTAGAATAACAGTAAATGTTGCCTTATATTTGTAAATTTTTAAACATCATTGCACTTCTTCTGAAAGCTGAAGGGAGTCAGGAATGTGGCTTTCTGTCCTCTCTTCCGAGTAGGGAGCAGGCTTGGAAGCTTGGCATTATTTACATTGTGAGCCAAGTCCTGTAATGTTGTGCAGTGTTTGCCAGCATCCATGGTCTTCACCTGTTAGGTGATGGTGGCACCACACCAATTGTGACCAAAAATGTCTCTAGACACTCCCTTAGGAGGCAAACATCACAAAGACCCAGTTTTCCCTTTGGACATGATTGTAAGTATCCATAAACCTGTTTATACTCTGAAAGGAATTCGTAAAATACTGAGTTATTCATTAAGAGAGCTGACTTGATTAGACTCAAAACTGAACAATGTATTGCACATATTGCAATACTTATTCTCTTTTTCTTTTCTTTTTCCAAGATAAAGTAAAATCTTTTCGTGCTGCCCTACAAGAAGAAGAACAAGCCAGCAAACAAATCAACCCGAAGAGACCCCGTGCCCTTTAAGTTGGCCTTGCTGCTAAAGGACCCCCAGCACCCTTAATACTGTAATGGACATGGTTTAGCTGTAAGGGCCATTTGAAAGTTTTAAGATTTTAAGTGTCTGTGGAAAATGTCTTGTCCTTCACCTGAATGACATTTCAATTTTGTGAACCACCTCCGCCTCCAAAATGCTTCTAGTCCGGGAGGCACAAACAAGAATTGGGATTGGTGAAGCATTACATTTCATTTACCCAGTAGTGGTTTGCTTTTGGAGATCCTTGCCAATTTCATTTGTTAAAGGAGGGAGTTGGGTTGTGGACTTGACCTGGAGGTGGCTGTTAGGGGGAAGCCACAGCATTTCCTTTGACTCGGTTCAGTTTGCATAGCCAGACGGCGCGGTTGACCCTGAGCGTGCATGCTTACCTCATCCGTGACTGTACATACCCGCCACTCCTCGACGGCTGTGCTCGCCTCCCGCTCTGTGCCTTGACCAAGGCTACGACCCCGAGTTGCTGAAGCACAGCCAAGAAAAATTACATTCCTTATTCATCATTGTAAATTACCGTTATTGTGTGTACATTTTTACTGTATTTGAGACATTTTTGTGTGTGACTAGTTCATTTTGCAGGATGTGCCATATCATTGAACAGAACTTAAGTCTGTGACAGTGGACATAGCTGCTGAACCATTCCATCTTATATGTATAAAATCTGGAATTATGATTTTAAACCATATAACATGTGATTTTAATTTTCTTAGCCTTTTTCTTTGTAAAGAACTAAAATATAAACTAGTTGGTGTAAAATAAAAAGCAATGAAGTTCTGAGAAGAGTTTTATCTTAGGGTTATACATATATATGCAGTGTGTGTGCCAGTGTGGTATTAACAAGATTAATAGTGCAATTTGATCTTTACCAGTACCATTAACTTAAGTTGAAATGTTCATTAGCACCCCAAAGTGTACCATTCAATGTACTGGTAAAAGAAGCTGGCTTCTGATGCATGAACGCTGACATGTGCGTTGAAGGTAGCCCATAGCAGAGGTTAGCTTATGCCAGGTACACACAGCACGTAACTCCCTTGAGAATTAGGCGCAAAGAGCTCCACCTAGTAACCTAATGTGTCATATTTTCCCATTACTTGGTGAGGATTGCCAAATTCTTACCAACAGATCGCCGTACAGTGCGCTACTTTTTCAATGGCAGCATTTATTTTTTAGATTCCTACTCCAAACAAGGAAACTGGCCACTTTTCATGTAAATATTTTGTTAAAAGATTTCTATGTGACCCTAGGAGCATTCCCTTGGTTACCAGTAAATGCACCACAGGGGAGGAAATAAAAAAAAAAAAGCAAGCCTCCCAGGGGCATCTTCTTCTGGCTTAGGTAAGGACAAGCCCATGCAGGGGGGCCGAGGCGGAGTATCCACGTGCCCCTTCCTAGTTAGGAGAAATCCTGCCGCCAGGTTGAAAAGTTCTGTAAACGTGAACCATGCAACAACTGGATTTTTCATCAGTACTTATCAATAAAATGAATGGAATGAGTTTTAGAGATTGACTTCAATACAGTAACCATTTTGGAAGGGACTCAGGTTTTCTTGCAGTTGTAAGATATATTCCGTTTATGTTTGTTTCTAAGAAAAGAGGAAGTGTAATCGCCGCCTTGCAGGGACCGGCTTTGAGCATGGCCGCTCCTCCGAGGGCAGTGTACCTGTGGGAACTTGCTCCTTGTTAAGCACAGCAGGTTGCTTTGTGAGTTGCATTGATGGCTACTTTGTTACAGAGTCCTTCAGACACAAGTGCTGCCTTCTACCGTGATGACATGATGACGTGATGACGTCCTGTCAGCAGTTGGGTATTTACTGAAGGTAGTGGAGGTGGTACAACCCAGGCCTCCTGCGATACAGGGGCCAGACAGCAGATTAAAAGTCAGCATTTCATGGGGGGGAGAGAAACAATGTTGAATTTTAGCATTCTTCTAGAAGTGTAGACACGGTACAAGTGAATGTTGCAAAATGTTTTGATGAAACTTAAAAAAAAAAAAACGTTGCCCTTAAGTATATTTAATATTCATGTAACAAAAATGGCTTGATGTGGCCAGATTTTTTTTGTTGTTGTTCTGAATTAAACAGTACTTTTTCACACCTGAAAGCATATGTCCCTGTTACTATATGAAAATGACTGAAGCTAGAATTTTTTAAAACATCTGTTTAGGGAAAAGCAACTTTTCTTCTGTTCCAGGTTTACTCAATGTACTTTTGCTAAATTAATTATAAACATCCTTTGTATAAAGAAAGTTAAATATCAGTTAAGATATTTTTATTATTGATTTTCTTACAGGCAAAATAACCTACTATACCTCTTTATTAAAATGTGCTAGCAACACTTACTGTTATTATTCAGACTTAAACACAATAGCTAATAGAACTTCTTTAGACATCTATTGAAATTCTCACTCCGGCAGTTTAAAAACACTTTAAAGGTAAGCTTCGAGTATATGAAAAAGTACTGTAATTTTTAATTATCCAGAAGTTATATAAATAGGAACCAATAATATTGTGAGAAAGTGGACCTTTTAATGAGATTGAAGGCAGAGATTTTAAAACCTGTTTTAATTTATGATTTTGCTAAGCCTGTATCTCCTCTAGAACAAATATGTAACCTCATAGTTAAAATTTAATTGATATGATTCTACTTAAGCTTTCCTCATTTTATGGGCTGTGCCCTGCCCAGAATATGTTTGGCACTGCCTCATGGCAATAGCAGCCTCAGGCTTAGCCAAAACTTGCATGTAGATTGTGTGCTATGGGATGGTTAAAGAGGCAGAGAGTGAGAAAATAAATGATATAGGGTAAATGAGAATTTGAGAAGCAAAAAGAAACACTCAAAATGGAATTACTGTACATGTGAATGGCAAATGATATGAAGAATATGTGAGCAGTTAAGCATATCTGAACATTTTTATTACTTGAGAGAGTAAAAATGACCTCATTTATAACACAGTAAAAAGATTAGCATCTTTATACAATAAAGTGTGAGAAACACTAAGTTTAAGTGTAAAGTTGTGCATATCTGCGGCTTTTGAAGATTCTGTAGAGTGGACCCTGTCCTGTGTTTATTAAAAACAAACCAGGAATAACAACAACAAAACACCTGGGGACTTGGAATTGACCACCTTAAAGATTCAGAAAAATAAATGATGATGGCAGAAATGTGGCTTCCAGAGAAGCAACAGCACAGATTGTCTTCTTAGCAAAAATATATAATCTGTTTCCTTTTTTGACTTTGAAACATTCTGTCTTCCAGATGCCTAGGAAAAGTGAATACCCTCTTCATTGAATCCGTGTAGCAGTCTAAAAAAGAAACCCAAAATGGGGAGGTATTGAAAAGCAAATTTGAATATCATTAGATTCTAAAACTACTCATTCGAAAAACCTCATTCTGCAACTAAATTGATCCAAGTTGTATTGGTTTAAACCATTTTATATTAATGCCTCTTTAGTTACCACCTGTAGATCTACAATTATAATAATGAATATGACAGTAGTTAATCTTGCACATCCCCTGCCTTAGGCCTGCGAACCAATTGACAGTTTGTTCCATTTCAGCATAGTGACTCTACAGGAAACAAACTGGAGACAGATCAGACGAAGGAGCAAGCAAGCTTGCACGCACATCGCCCCATGGAGTTTGGTATGCGTGGTTTGGTATGCGTGGTTTCTGTGCGGATACCTACGTCAGAGTGTTAGCCAAATGCATATAATAAATGACCTTGGAAAAAAATACGCGAATGAAGGATAATAAGATAAAATATTGTATTTGGAGCTGCAGTTATTTTCAGGCTGGGCCACAGGAATAGGTCCAAATGAAGTGTGCAGAGCTCTGCTGGCCAGACAATAAAATGCAAACACCATCTGTCCTGGTTGTACAGACCTGTGTTTATTGTTTGTCACAGGCAATGGCATTACAGTCTGCTCTCATGTTTACTCAGCCTCTACAACATGGAAACTCTAAAAACAAATGGGCTATAAGAGTCAAGAATCTTAACATGTTAAGCTAAAGACCGCGAGTACGTGAATTACTGAAATGAAGCCTTTTTGGCCTCAGCTGCCTGGACAATTATGATACCTGTACATCAGAGCCATGTAGAGCCTGCCACGGGCCACACGACCTAACTGGGCTAAACACACGACAGACAGGTGTGCTGGGTCAGATCTGCTTACACATGCTAACACCCAGACAGCGCTTGGGAGTTGGGATAGGCCAGGTGGCAGGAACACGTGACCACACGCCAACACAGAGGCTGACTGCTGCTCCGACTGTTCCTCATTACTGTTCCTAGTAACAGTAAACGGTCACTCTGCTGTAGCTCATCAGCTCCGCCTTGTGCACCAAATACTATTCCATGGAAGTGCCATGCAGTACTGCCAAGCAGCACCTCACACCGCTCAAGAGCCTTTAAATCTAATCAGAAGGTGTCACAGTAAAGAAATGTAAACATGAAAACAAGAGCTGTAACTTACCTGATAAAGTCATCTATATCCATGGTGCGGGCCCTTTTGTCACTGAAACCTGTGCTGCTTAGGATTTGCTGTATTTTATCTGCTATGCTGAAATCTTCTGGTATAATCTATCAATATAAGATTCAGAATAAATGAACAACATATCTTTAATGAAGTCACTTTGACTCTTTTTTGTTTTTTAAGTTTGGTAAGTCATAAGGGAATGATCTTAACATTACAAATTAATGAGTTTGGAAAGCCTGATTATTTTGACATGACTTGGATCTCTTATAGTTATGTGGCTAATCTGTACTGCATAACAAATACTCAGAATACCTTGAGTGAGTCTTCATGTATACTGTGCTTTTTTCTTTAAAATTCTAAAATTCAGAGATGATGTCTAATCCTTGAGAATATTATTTCATATTTCATTTATATCTATGCCAAGCTTTCTTAATCCACTTATTTTCTAGGCAGTTACTCAATCGTTTCTTCAACCCATAAAACACAGAAAGGAGATCTGTGAGATCTGAGTCACACAAAGGATAGAAAAGCAATTTGTCTCTGTTTTAATTATAGAGCGGGTGCCCACACATACACATACAGCTGTGAGAGCTGCACAGGTAAGATGCAGGCTGAAAACCCAAACCTGTAACTCAACCTGCAGAAAACACTAACTAGTAATTGTTATCTGAGCAACAAACCAAGGGTTGGTCAAAATCAGAAGACCAAATTATTTTAAGTTGAGCAAACTACACGTCTACAACTTTGAGGGAATCACAACTTGACTGAATCTGACAGCGCTCTCATCCGCTGGCTCTTGGCCCAAACGCTTACACCAGCCGGGACTGTGCCAAAGCCTGGAAGCCAATCCAGGTGTCCTGTGTGAATGGCAGAAAGCACCCCCTGCTTGAGCCATCCATCATCACTCCGCTCAGGGTCTGCAGTGGCAGGGAGCTGGGGCAGCCACCGAACCCAGATCATGCACTAGATGCAGACACTTCAACAGTGCTTTGACCGCCAGGCTACACACGCCCCCTCAACCTGCTTGTTCTGACTGAAAGAGGAGAGGGGAAGGGGTTTAGTAAAGGTTGCTTATATTTGAAATCTACAACAACCCTGACCTGTCATAATTCACGTCACAGTTCCGAAACTCTGCATTTGACAGCACCATCTTTCAAGTGTCCTTTGGCATGTACAAAATAATGGGACCAGTTCAAGTGGCTATCCTCCACTTGCAAGCACTGGCATCCCCTACGGGTACTAGTTTGCATCACAGCTGCTCTACTTCCCATCCAGCTTCCTGCTTATGACCTGGAAAAGCAGCAGAGAATGGCACAAAACCTTAGGTCCTTGCGCCTACATGGGAAACCCAGACATTACTGGCTTTGCCTCTAGATCGGCTCATCTCTCGCCACTGCAGCCTTTGTGGGAGTGAACCAGCAGATGGAAGATCTTTCTAGTCCTGCTTTTCTCTGTGTTTTTTAAAATCTGTCTTTCCAATAAAGATAACTTAAAAAAAAATGTACAAAGAATCTCAAATGACAGATGAAAAAGAGTAAAAAATAGAGGGACATTTTGAAAGAAGTCGTTGAAACTACAGAAACATTTCCTACTTACAATATTGTGCATTGAGCAGTGAATTCTATAGTTTTTTTCCAAAAGCTGCTGCACTGCGCTTGATCTATAGGACAAACAGGTGACATTACTATTATCACAGAATCAGCGAGCACATATCGTCTTTCAGCTTATATTAAACTATGTTCCTTAAGGTAAAATTAAGGAGTTAAAGTGGTGAATACTTAAACTGATGATGCATTCTTTCAAACTTGAAATGTCTTAATTCTTAGCGACTCTTAGGAAAATCCCCACATCTTAAGCTCTCTCTCACCTCTTCTCCCACTGTGTTGTTCACATTTTCCCAAGTTAACAAAATGGCACGACTCCTTGACAAGCGTGGCAGAGCTCTGTTATTGTCCATTTCCGGACACACCAGGCAGGTCTGCAGTCAAGAGCTGCGAGCGCGCAGGGTACCACCACACTGCTTGGGGCTCACAGCTGCCTGGGGGCTGCTGCAGGCCCTAGACTTCAAAGGGCCCAGCTAGGCCTGTTGTGGGCACGTGAGGGAACAAGCTATCAAATGGGCCACTGCCCTCCGCCTCTCAAGATGTAATAAAAATTTCAATAAGGGAAAGAGCTTCGGGATTTTTCCAAACTGAATTCTGTGAACTCTCCCACCTCCCATGTGTAAGGTGAGCGAGGGCAGTGCAGTGTGTGGGTCGTCTGTGTGTTCTGGAGCAGCTCTCCGGGAAGAGACGCGCGTGCAGCACGGTGTCCGCGGCCCTGGACTTTGGACGCGCAAGGAATGAGTCACACACTTACTTGAAGGCAGCAGACAGGGTCTTGTTCTTCCTGACAAAGGTGATCCTTACCAGGCCATCCCACTCCTGAAACGCAAGAAGGGCATTTTTCCTCAACAAGTCAAACTTGCGGCCAAGGTGTTTTTTTTTTTTTTAAAGACTAGAGGAAACCTTCTAGAATGATGAAATGCTCTTTCTGGAACTCAATGACACACATGCTTGACTAAGATGTACATGTCTCATTTTGCACTGTTAGGCATCTCGATGGATGTATTTTCCTCAATTTCGTACCAATTAGGAACAATTAGGAAAAAATAAATTCCTACATCTGAGCAAAGGGTATGACACTTGCTTAAAATATAAGACTCTTTGTCAAGAGTAAAATTCGAAATGGACGTGGTTTTGGACGCAGCCCCTGTAGCAATGCGCCTCCATGATGGAGTTCCTGACGACTCTTTTACAGCCACGTTGTCTGTGACTCGACTGTAGCAGGGTGTGCCACCCACTGCCTCCTGGCTGGCTCCTGAACTGCAAAGCGAAGCTTGACTGAAAAGTGTCACCCAGAGTGTTACTGTCAGCTTTCCATTTGACCTTGCTTTCCACATTCTATGCAGATACGCACTTTCTGTGATCATAAGTTTGAGCAGAATACAACTGAATTTTAATTTTTGCAAATATTTTTCATGGTTTTTTTTTTTTGTGGCCTTTATAACTAGTCCACCGGTTTCATCGCAAGGATGTATGACCCTGAACATATTCCCAGGTTGAATACCGAGGCTGATGCCCTAGGGACAGTGTCTTCCAGTCTGGACTCCATTTTCTTTTGCTGAATGTCCTACCTCATCATTTGGCCTCACCTGAAAATTGATGGGTGGTGGTGGATTCTTCGGTTCTATCCTTACCACACTGGATTCCACCTTGGGTGGTGGTCTAAAGTTATTCTTTCCCACCTGTGGACCAGAAAATGTTGCAAGTTTTCCGCTAAGAGACCACTTTTCTTTAGGGAGCAATGGTGTGCTTCCCCCAGAAGGCCCAGCCAGGTGTCCAAGGAGGAGTTACACCAGTTTGTTTCAACAAAAACCCACTCACTTTCATGAGGTGGTCCACGCGTGCTAACAGCTGTGTGTTAATGGAAAGTCTGCAGTACAACTTGTCGCCAGGCTTGGCAACCAGGCGGAGAGCAAATTCTCGTTGAAACATAAGTACAGCACACCTGAAGAGAGAAAGGCAAAGGTGGACACTGGGCACAGCAGTGGGGCTACTGCCCAGGGACATCGGCCTCCCGTGTCGGCACGTCTGGGCTCCAGGTCCGGCTCCTCCACTTGGGACTGAACTCCCTGCTAACTGCACTCCAGAAGGCATCAGGTGACAGCCCCAGTACTCTCATTCCCGCCACCCACACGGGAGATGTGGACTGAGCACCTACCCCAGCTGCTGCAGGCATTTCGGGACTTAGCTAGTGGGTGGGCACTCTGTAACGATGAGGAACTGGTGCAGCGAGGCTGCCTTTGGGGGTGCCTACCTCCTGGCTCAGAATGCCTAGTCCCAACTACTCTGCTTCAGCTTCAGCTTCCTGCTAACGCATCCTGGGGACCACAGATGATGGCTCAAGTCTGACACCCAAATGGCAGTCCTGAATGGAGTTCCACCTCTGGTGATTGCAGGCATCTGGCAGGTCAATCGGTAAAAAACAGTGCTCCCTCGCTCACTTGCTCTCTTTCCAGTAGATTCTTCTTTAAAATAGGGAAACAGGGCCTAGTACTGTAGCCTAGTGACTAAACTCCTCACCTTGCACGTGTGGGGATCCTATATGAATGCTAGTTTATATCCTAGCTGCCCCGTTTTCCATCCAGCTCCCTGCTTGAGGCCTGGGAAAGCAGGACAAGATGACTCAAAGCCTTGGGACTCTATATCCACATGGGAGACCCAGAAGCTCCTGGCTCCTGGCTTCAGATCAGCTCAGCTCCAGCCATTGCTGCCACATGGGGAGTGAACCAGTGAATGGATGATCTTCCTCTCTGTCTCTCCTCCTCTCTGTATAACTGACTTCCCAATAAAAACAAATTTTAAATATAAATAAGGAAAACAGTCCAGGCCAGTGCCACAGCACAGTGGTTACGGGCTCTTTCTGCAGTGCCAGCATCCCATGCCAGTGCCAGTTCAAGTCCTGGCTGCTCCACTTCAATCCAGCTCCCTGCTCATGTCCCTAGGAAAGCAGTGAAAGATGGCCCAACTGCCTTGGCCCCTGCACCTAGCGGGAAGATATGGAGGAAGTGTGTGGTTTCGGACTGGCCCAGCTCCAGCTAATGTAGCTATTTAGGGAGAGACCCAGTGCATGGAAGAGCTCTCTCTGTCTCCTCTCTGTAAATCTGCCTTTCAAATAAAAATACATCTTAAAGAGGCAAACAGTCACATGGAACACTAAGTGTATTTTATCTGTAATGAATTTGCTTAGGAAACAGCAAAGCAACATGCTATTAATGACAGTTAATTCAGCTGTCTAGAAAATAGAACATTTTCAGTCTTTTTTTTTTTAAAAAAGACATTTATTTATATTGAAAAGGCAGATTGAGAGAGAGAGAAGGAGAGACAGAAAGATCTTCCATCTGCTGGTTCGTTCCCCAAGAGGCTATAAAAGCTGGAGCCAGGAGCTTTTTCTGGGTCTCCCATGCGAGTTCAGGCTCCCAAGGACTTCGGCCACCCTCCACTGCTTTCCCAGGCAGAACCGGACGGGAAGCGGAGCAGCCGAAACATGAACCAGCATCCATATGCGGCAGCGGCACTTGCAGGTGTCGAGCAATCGAGCCATCACACCAGGCCCCAGTCTTATTACCACAAAATAAGAGAGCTAGTTTTGCTTTATAACCCTAAGAAAGAGGATTTGTAAGTAGAAGCCTTCAGTTATCAGAAGAAAAAGTATTTCTGATCAGCTTTCCTCATTCTATCACACACACACACCTGACTTGAGCAGAATCTCCTTCACAAGGCAGCAGACGCCCTGGAGGAAGCAGAGGTGCCGAGGTGGCAGGCTGTGGCCCGGGCGCTGGTCAGTACCGGGCACGGACTGCTGTGCGCAGCGCACGGGCCTTCTGGAGGCTGGGGAACAGACATGGACTGAAGCTCCCAAAGTTTTGGACAACGAATCACAAGAAACATTTGCTATCACAATCCGCAACACAGATATCTGTATTGGAGTGTTTGTATGCCTCTACCAAAAGCTCCACGGAACCACGGTCCCTCAGACTGCGTGGAGGGCCCTCGGAGATGCTCCAGTCGGGGGCCTGGCTAAGCGGGGGGACGGGGGACGTGGCAGGAGGGACGGTGCTGCAAGTGAGGCTGTGGCTCTGCACAGCAGAACAGGTAATGAGAGCGCCTGGTTACGGCCCCACTTCCGCCCCCGCCTCCATCCATCCTGGCAGGCGGCACGTGATAAACAACTGAGCGCTTCCCAAGTCCCTGCCACCCGCCGGGGACACCAAGCTGGAGTTCTGGGCTCCTCGCTTCAGCCTCACCCACCCTTGGGTGCAGCAGGCATTAGGGAGTGTACTAGAAGAAGGAAGATCATTCACTTTTCTCTCTCTTTTGCTCTGCCTTTCAAATAAAAGGAAATATTTTAATAAACAAGCATATCAAGCTCATCTTCTGCCGGTGGTGCCAGAATCCAGAGGCGCAGCCGTTCAAGTTCTGGCTGCTCCAGCTCTGCTCCTGTGCCCCGCTTACGGCCTGGCAGGGTGGCCGAGGCTGTGCCCTCTGCATGTCTGGGAGACCCAGAGAAGCTCTTGGCTTCGGATTGGTTCTGCCTTTGGATTGGCTCAGTGCAGCCACTGCGGCCATTCAGAGTGAAGCAATGAATGGGAGACCTCTGTCTCATCTTCTCTTTGTAATTCTTCGAATAAAAATAATAAAGTTTGCGGGGCCCAGCACGATGGCGCAGTGGTTAAGGTCCTCGCCTTGCATGCCCGGGATCCCATATGGGCGCCGGTTCTAATCCCGGCAGCCCCGCTTCCCGTCCAGCTCCCTGCCTGTGGCCTGGGAAAGCAGTCGAGGACGGCCCAAAGCTTTGGGACCCTGCACCCGCGTGGGAGACCCGGAAGAGTCTCCTGGCTTCGGATCGGCATAGCATCGGCCATTGTGCTCACTTGGGGAGTGAATCATCGGACAGAAGATCTTCCTCTCTGTCTCTCCTCCTCTCTGTATATCCGCCTTTCCAATAAAAAATAATAAAATAAAATAAAAATAAAGCTTTCAATTAAAAAAAAATAGGATGGTCATGACTCACTGAACTAGATTTTCTAACACCAGAGGTATTTTTGGCTTGCAATAGGTGTAACTGCAGGCCAGCTGGCAGCCACTGCAATTGTCTAGAGTAACAACAATTAACCAGGCCTAAGATAAAAGCACGAGAAGTCAGAAAATCGGGACAGGATGTCCAGTCTCGGGAACAGGAGCGGGTCACTCCAGCCCGCCAGGAACTTCAGGGGAAAAAGTAGGGGCAACAGGGGAGGGGGGAGGGAGGAAGCGATCCAAACCATCATCCTTTTCCACACGAATCCTTCCGTAGTTTCCCGATGGACTTCACGAACTGGGCAGTAAGTCTAGTCTGATTTTTTTTTGGGGGGGGAGGGTCACAAACCTGAAAAAAGGCCGGTGCAGCAGCAACTTGAAGACAAAGGGCGAAGAGATCTGCAAGAGAATTAACTGGCTGCTTTGCAGAAAGACACAGGAGGAGAACAGCAGGACTTCCTGCCGATTCCAACACATACCTGATAAGGCAGGTTGGCCACGCACGCGTCAAAGAATGGCAAGTCTGTTTTCAGCACGTCCCCCACCATGACCTGCAGCTTGCTGGCCACGGGCCTGGGCATAAGAAACGAGAAATGGAAGAAGGATGTTATTATTTCTTTCGCGAGGCCGAAATAACATTTTAATTTTATTATGCATACTCACGTGCCCTGAACTCTCTTATGAAGTTCAGCTACTAGCCTTGGGTCAAGTTCACAGGCAATGACCTGAATTTATAAAAAAAAAAAAAAAAAAAAAAGAAAACTTTTAGATGAGTTTCAAAGAATGAATCTAGTCTTGTCATCCCATCTATTACGTGATTTATACTTCTTTTTCTATAGCGCTCTACTTCAGACGAAACCCCCACCCAGACGGTAAAGACCCTGCGAGTGCCACCAGCCAGCCTCATGTGTCTCCAGGGTTTGTGACCAGGCAGACAAGGAGCACAGGGTGCCGGGCAGTCAGCATCCTCAGCAGGGCATGCTGCTCGTCTCAGGAGCCAAGATCCAGTGTTGGCTCACTGCTCAGCTCAGTGAAAAAGGGACTAAAGGGGAGGTGGAAATGGTCATTGTATTAGCTACGGCCTCACTGATACGAGGTAGACGCACATCCGTATTTGGTTTGACTCTGCTTCCTCTGCCCTACGGAAAATGGAGGCAGCCCCCAACCCGCCCGTGCTGACTGTGATGGGCACAGCACTGCAGGACGCCAAGGGCCAGGCAGGAGGCCTACTTCCTGATGCCCAGCCTATGCCCTGTGATTTGGGCAGTGGCTATGCTTGCCTCTGAGTACCGCCCCCCCACAATGGCTCCCACGCACTAGGCCCCTGATCACCTCTTTGCCCTTCTGTCTGCTCGTAGCTTCCCTGTTGGTGGTAGTCCCCAGTGCTTCACTAATTCCCAGACATCATGAAACACCCCCACCCCCTACAAGCCCTTTTCTGTATCTGTTTCCACCAGGAACACAGTGATGGTGGAAACAGTGATGGTGTTTGTTGGAAGGCAGCTCAACTGAAACACACAAAGGGTTGGCACCCCAAGAGCCTTGCACATCTCCTCCAAAGTTAGGGGTTCCAATCACTCCAGTCTCTGCCTCCCCTACTCCCACCTTACTCCCAACCTGGAGGTGGTAGTCACTGTGCTAATACATTGAGTCAAGTGGCCCCACTTTCCACTTTTAGTTGTCTAACAAATGTAACCAACTTCCATACACTCAATTCCCATTTAACAAAATCATTAAGATGTTGCCCAGAGGGCCAGCTCCATGGCACAGTAATTTCACTTTCCGCTTGCAGCATCAGCATCCCATATAGAGGCCAGTTCAAATCCCGGGTACTCCACTTCTGATCCAGCTCGCTGCCTATAGACTTGGGAAGTGCTCGGGCCACTGCACCCATGTGGGAGAAAAGGATGAAGTTCCTGACTTTGGACTGCCAGCCTACGGCCACTGTGGATCAGGCCTGCATTTCAAGCTCAGTTTCTCAATTAAAATTTTGACTCCACTTTCAAATCCAGCTCTGGATCCAGTACAATAGCCTACTGGCTAAAACCCTGCCTTGCATGTGCTAGGATCCCATCTGGGCACTGGTTCCTATCTCAGCTGCTTCACTTGCCATCAAGTTCCCTGCTTGAAGCCTGGAAAGCAGCAGAGGGTGGCCAAGGTCTTGAGACCCTGTACCCACATAGGAGACCCAGAGGAAGCTCCTGGCTCCTGGTTTTGGATTGCCTCAGATCTGGCTGTGGCAGCCACTTGGGGAGTGAACCAGCGGATGGAAGATGTTTCACTCTGTCTTTCCCTCTCTCTGTGGATTTGCCTTTCCAATAAAAATAAATATATCTTTAAAAAGAATCCAGCTTCGCGGTAATGATACTGTCGGGAGGCAGTAGCTGATGGCTCGAGTGCTTCAGTGCAGGCCGACCTGGATAACTCTGAGTCCTCGGGTTGGCACTGTGGCAAACGGGGTAAAGCCACTGCAGTGCCAGCATCCCATAGGGTGCCAGTCCAAGTGCCAGATGCTCCACTTATGATCCGGCTCCCTGACAATGCCCCTGGGAAAGCAGAAGTGGGCCATGTCGGAGACCAGGAGAAAGCCGGTTCCTGGGTTTGGACTAGCCCAGCTCCGGCCACGTGGGCATTTGGGGAAAGAATCAGTAGACGGGAAGATCCCTCTCTTCTTCTGTCACCCTTCCTTTCAAATAAGTAAATAATTCTTTAAAAACGAAAAACAGCATTTGGCTTCATTTTCGCTATTTCAGGCATGTGGAGAGGGACCCAATAAACAGAGTATCTTGCTCCCTCCCTGTCCTTCTGTGAAATCTAAAAACTTTAAGGACAATAATAAATTCCCCGCTGGAATGCCTAGTGTGGTCTGTTTTCCTGATGTATCTCATCCTTTTTTTTTTGAAACTTTAAGATTTATTTTTATTGGAAAGGCAGATCAGATTTATGAAGAGAAGGAGACACAGATATTCCACCTACTGGTTCCCTCCCCAAGTAGCCACAATGGCTAAACTGATCTGAAACCACAAACAAGAAGCTTCTTTCGGGTCTCCCACGCGAGTGCAGGGTCCCAAGGCCTTGGGCCGTCTTCTCCTGCTTTCTCAGGCCACAAGCAGGGAGCTGGAAGGGAAGTGGAATAACTGGGAGACGAACCAGTACCCATTTGGAATCTTGGTGCTTCCAAGGCAAGGATTCAGCCACTGAGCCATCGCACTGGGCCCCGTATCTCATACTTTCTAACATAAAACTGTGAGTAAGAGATGAAGAATAACTACAGATTGAATTTACCTTATCTAAAATGCTTGAGAGTCTGGTGCAGTAGCCAAGCAGCTAAAGTCCTCACCTTGAATGCACCGGGACCCTATATGGGCACCAGTTCTAATCCTGATGGCCCCGCTTCCCATCCAGCTCCCTGCTTGTGGCCTGGGAAAACAGTTGAGGAAGGCCTAAAACCTTATAACCCTGCACCCGTGTGGGAGACCTGGAAGAAGCTACTGGTTCCTGGCTTCAGATCAGCTCAGCTCCAGCCATTGTGGCAACTTGGGGAGTGAATTAGCGGATGGAAGATCTTCCTCTCTGTCTCACCTCCTCTCTGTATATCTGATTTGGCAATAAAAATAAATATATCTTCAAAAAAATAAAATGCTTGGAACAAGAAGTATTTCAGATTTAAGCATCTCTAATTTGAAAATCAAAAACTCAAATGTGATACAGTGGGTTAAGCTACCTCTTGGGATGCCTGTAGCCCTACCTGAACACCTGGAGTCACTTCCCACCTCCACTTCTGAACTGCTTAGGATCAAGTACTGCTTGGCTTCTAGTGCTGCTATGCATTCTGGGAAGCGGCAGGTGCTGGCTAACGGCCTGGGCGCTGACCATCAGCACGGGAGACAGCAGGCCCTGGGTCCGTGCCGTCAGCCAGCACATTCAGGGACTGGACCAGCAGGTGGAACACCTCTCTGTCACTCCCTTCAAATAACCAAAAACATTAACGTTAACTAAAATCTATGGCTCACATGGTCATTTTTTTGATTGGAAAGGCAGATGTACAGAGAGGAGGAGAGACAGAGAGGAAGATCTTCCACAATGGCTGGAGCCGAGCCAATCCAAATCCAGGAGCCAGAAGCTTCTTCTGGGTCTCCCACACGGGTGCAGGGTCCCAAGGCTTTGGACAATCCTCGACTGCTTTCCCAGGCCGCAAGCAGGGAGCTCGATGGGAAGTAGGGCTGCCGGGATACGAACCGGCGCCCATATGGGATCTCAGCATGTTCAAGGCGAGGACTTTAACCATGATGCTATCGCGCCGGGCCCTACATGGTCATTTTTGAAACATTTATTTGAATGGCACAGTTACAGAGAGGCAGAAACACAAAAAGAGATCCTCCAGCCCCTGGTTCACGGCCTAGATGTTCATGACGGGCAGGATGGGGCCAGACGGACAGCAGGCACTGCTTTCGGGTCCCCGCTGGGTGCAGCGGGCTAGCACCTGGGCCGTTTTCTGCGCTGCTTTTCCAGGTGCATTAGGAGGAAACTAGACCAAAAATGGAGCAGCCAGGGCTTGAACCAGTCCCCACATGGGATGCTGGTGCTGCAGACAGCAGGTTTACTCACTACGCCACAAGTGTGGCTCCGACGCAATCATTTCTAATATCAAAACGTTAAATCCCCTTTTTACCTTTTTGGCCTTCTCTAACAACTTTACGGTCATGTTGCCAGTTCCAGGTCCGACTTCCAGCACCACGTCCGTTGGCCTTAGGGCAGCCTGAAAGGAAGCAGACTGGCCGTAACACGCACGGCCCATCCGAGTACACCCCTGCCCTGAGATGGGGCTCGGACTCCACTTCCCGATTTCATGATGATGTGTGAGGCCAACAAAATTACCTACTACGAAAGCCCTCGTGTTATGGGCGAAGGCTCCTCAATGGCACCGCGGCACAGACCAACACTGCCTCCTACCTTGGACACGATGGCCATCAAGTCTTGCAACCAAATCTGGTCACGTCCAGCAGCCCAAATGAGCCAGGACTGTGTATAACGAAGCTCCTGGCCCCCCAGCAGACTGGACCAGGATCTCAGAATTGTCATGTCCACTTTCAGGGATTCTGGCCTAAGAGACACCCTACAGACAGGTCTATGTGGGCACGCAGCTGAACGCTCCACATTCATGGGTTTCATTGTGTGATCAATGAACTCCATGAGCTTAACATGCAGGCTAAAAACCTAGGCCAACCCTCCTCGCACCAAGCATCCCGAGTCTCCCAAGAGCTTTCCTGGAATGCTCCTCCTACAGGTCCAAGAAGCTTCCATTATTCTAGTCCGTGCCTTAGTCCTATGGTTTAGACTCTGGAAGAAAGGCTAACAGTGCCTAGAAAAAAAGCGATTCAAAACTGAAATTGAGAAAGAACAAATGTTCAGCTTTGTAGCAGATAATTCTCAGAGAGAGAACAGGGTGATGGTGGCAGGTGGGGGGACCCAGACCTAAAACGTGCAAACACGTCTGTAAGTCCTCAATGATCCGTGTGTTCATTCAAGGTACACCTGACAGCGACCTCGGGCCAGGCACGCTCTGCAGGCGATCAACAACGCCCTCTTTCACACCCACCTTATCAATAATGCTGTTAACCACGAGAGGATTTTTCAAAATGTGTTGCCCGATGCCTTTGTTGAACATGAGTCCTGGAAAGAAAAACACACACACATGGGCCTTCACCTCCCTGCCGGCTGACAGGTGAGAGCGTCCGGGAGCAGCCAGCAGGATGGGGAGCAGGCCGGCATCTGGGGGCCAGGCCCGGGGCGGCCGCTCGGCGTCCAGTCCACCCCTGCCAAGCCAGCCCGGGGCCCGGGATGCCGACACCCACGCCGGGCAGCAGCTCCGGGCTCGCGGGCGGCCCGACCCCGCTTCCTCCCGGCAGCCGCACCTCCGGCACTCTTGAGCTCCCGGCGCTCTTCCCGCCGCTTCGCCGCCGCCTTGACCTTCGGCATCTCCGCAGGAACCGGGCCCTGAGGACCGCCAAGTCACACAGGACCAAAGCGGGCCGGCGGCCGGGACCCCGCACACTCCCACCACCCCGTCCACGCCGCGCGACGGACGCCAGCCCCGCCTCCGGGCTGCTCCGGCTCCTCCTCCCGGAGCGGCGGGACGGCCTGGGAGCCCGGGGACCGCCGGGAAATGTAGTCAGCAGCGCCAAGAAAGGCCACGCTCGGGGAGACTACGACTCCCGGAAGGCACCGCGCTGCCGAGTCTGGCAGCTTGGGATTGGACAGTTTGGGGCCGGGGGCGGGGCTTCCTCCCCGCGCCCCGCCCCGACGGTGTGGAAAGGCGTTCTCGCGAGGCTCTGAAGTCTGTGACAGGACGGGCTTGGCAGGTTAGGTTCTGGAATCGCTCAACTACCAAGTCGGGCTCTCTTCTCGCTCAGACTCGGGGGGGATCAGGACCCAGACGCAGGATGCGGCGCGTGCGCCCTTGCTGTGGGGTGCTTCTCTGCCTTCCGCATCGCATCCCAGTCGGGCCTGCGGGTGCTTCCTTTGGTGTGTCTCACCGCACCGTTCCTTCTCGAAACGTGTACCGAGCTCCAGCTGTGCGTTAGAGAAGGATCTGCCCTCAGAGTGTGTTCCATTGAAAGGAAGAAAAAAATAATAATCCCAAAGTGCTTAGCAGGTGCCTGGGATGGATGGGGCGCGCGACGGCATGCGCCATGGCTGACGGTGCTTGGCGGGGTCCAAGCTGGTGCGCTCTGTTGCCTTGCCACAGTCTCCCGCAGTCCTGGGTAAAGCGGCCTCTTCTCTGGACCATGGGGATGCCTTCCCAAACCTTGGTTTTAGTCCCTTCTTTCCTGGCTGCAATTTCGAGGAAAAAATGTCATATCCTGCTGGCACCTTACACTCCCGATTTCGTATCATTTCCCTATTTCATTCATCTTCGACAGTGCTGGAGTCAGTCTGCGCGCAGCGTGTCAGACGTTAGGAATGAAAGGACGGCCTTGGCGCCTAGTCTGTGTGCAAAGAACTTTCGGGAGAGAGGGAGGCAGGGAGCCAGGAAGACTGTGACAGTGATAGCGCTCGGAGACGCGGCTTGCAGGTTCTGCTGGACAGGCCTGTTGTCCGGTTTGCCATTTTCAAATACTTTTCTGAACAGCGTCTTCTCATCACCACCATTTTAATTTTTAAAAAAGATTTGTTTCTTTTTATTGCAAAGTCAGATATACAGAGAGGAGGAGAGAGAGAGGAAGAGCTTCCGTCCGATGATTCACTCCCCAAATGACCACAATGGCCGGTGCTATGCCGATCCGGAGCCAGGATCCAGGAACTTCCTGCATGTCTCCCACGAGTGTGCAGGATCCCAAGGCTTTGCGCCATCCTAGACTGCTTTCCCAGGCCACAGGCAGGGAGCTGGATGGGAAGTGGAGCTGCTGGGATTAGAACCGGCGCCCATATGGGATCCCTGCGCGTTCAAGACTAGGACTTTAGTTGCTAGGCCACAGCTCCGGGCCCCAAAGTTTCATTTTCCTCAGAGTGACGGGATGCGTGGTGGGGAACATCCTTGGGGATGGGGTCAGTCGGGGGCATCTGCACGTCCGCGAGTGACGTGACCAAGATAAGAACTGCTTGCTGGAGATGTGTTGTACGTGACTAGGTCTGCAAGAGACAGGCGGGGTCCTTGTCAAGACTCCACTGCCATGGATGAGAGTGGACCCTAGCCTGAGCTATCAATAAAGTTTCTTTGCTTTTGCACTGTTGCTCATGGAACCTTTCTGTCCGTGGTTTGGGGATCTTTTGGGTCTAACAACAGCAGTAAGACTGTCGTCCTCTCTGGCCCTAGCGCGGTGGCCTAGCAGCTAAAGTCCTTGGTTTGAATGCACTGGGATCCCATATGGGCGCCGGTTCTAATCCCGGTTGCTCCACTTCCCATCCAGCTCCCTGCTTGTGGCCTGGGAAAGCAGTCGAGGACGGCCCAAAGCTTTGGGACCCTGCACCCGCATGGGAGACCTGGAGGAGGTTCCTGGCTCCTGGCTCCGGATCGGCATAGCATCAGCCGTTGCGCTCACTTGGGGAGTGAATCATCGGACAGAAGATCTTCCTCTCTGTCTCTCCTCTCTGTATATCCGCCTTTCCAATGAAAAAATAATAAAAATAAATCTTTTTTAAAAATAAAAATAAATAAATCTTAAAAAAAAAAAGACCATTGTTTCCAGCCCCTTCATACTCCAGTATAAGGATTGCATTGCGGCACACTCAAACCTGATCGAAGCCATTGCACTGCGTCTGAGGCGCTGCGCGTGAACACTTCATCCTAACGGACACCTCTGCTCAGCGTGTGTCAGACATATGCTTTCCTATCGCCACCCTCGTCAAAAGGCAAGCCAAGGCACGTGAAACCTTCATCGGACCCAGACGAGGCAGCTTCCAACTTGAGGCAGTTGAAGGCACCTCCGAAGCAGATAGCAGAGGAAAGATGTTGTGGGGTGAATGTAGAAGTTGGGAAAAGGAAAGATTTGGGCTACTCGATAGGAAAAGTTCTCAGAATATCATTGAAATTTTCACGTCGCTTACATTTCATTGCCTGCTAACATTGAAATGGGTTTGGGTTTGTTCAAGTGGGAACGTTGAGCAGGGATCCCAGAACAGCATCAGTTGAAATACCTCCAAATCAATTGTTTTAGCACTAGAAGGTAGCCTATGTTATGTCACAAAATGAGACTTTTCTCGAAATGCGCTGAAGAGCACGTTCCCCTAACGTGGCTGAGCGGACAAGGCCGGCCTCCCTTGAGTCCCAGCCTAGTGTGAGCTGCAGGCCTCAGGAGGACGCAGGTCTTATTTCCCACCAGCGGGAGCCAGAGGACGGGACTCCAACCTGCCTCCCCAAGGAGCACGGGCTGAGGAAAGCTCCTGAACAACGAAGCTCTGAGTATTAGTGCTGGGTGCGGCAAGTTCTGATCTGCTTGGAATGCAGCCGTCCAGGAAAGGTGGACTTTTAATTCCTGAGTTCCCTGTTCAGCAGCCGTTCCCTTTGGAGAGGGTTCCCGTGAATTTCCGTGCCCGAAATGCCCTGATTTCTTTGCTTGCCCGGTAGATTTCCCTTCCACATGTGCCCAGGTTGGCTCTCTCTGTGGGCTACATCTGTGCGTGTTATCTGGTATCCTAAAGAGCAGGGTCCTGAAAAAATGTTGTTTTCTCCATGTGGCCTCTGGAAGGCATGCTTACACTGAGAGAGGGTTTGTATATTGCACTTAACGGTTTTCAAAGTAAATGCTTTCCATGCCATTTGATTTTCTTTTTTAAATATATTTATTTATTTTTATTGGAAATGCAGATATACAAAGAGGAGGAGAGACAGAGAGGAAGATCTTCCGTCTGATGATTCACTCCCCAAGCGGCCAAAATGGCTGAAGCTGAGCCAATACAAAGCCAGGAGCTTCTTCCAGGTCTCCCACACAGGTGCAGGGTCCCAAGGCTTTGAGCAGGGAGCTGGATGGGCAGTGGGGTTGGGCCCGACAGAATAGCGCAGTGGCTAAAGTCCTCGTCTTCCATGCGAGGGATCCCGTATGGGCGCCGGTTCTAGTCCCAGCAGCTCCACTTCCCATCCAGCTCCCTGCTTGTGACCTGGGAAAGCAGTCAAGGACAGGCCAAAACTTTGGGCCCCTGCACCCGCGTGGAAAACTAAGAAGAAGCTCCTGACTCCTGGCTTGAGATCGGCACAGCTCCAGCTATTGCAGCTATCGGACAGAAGATCTTCCTCTCTGTCTCTCCTCCTCTCTGTATATCTGCATTTCCAATAAAAATAAATAAATATTTAGAAAGGAAGGAAGAAAGAAAGAAAGAAAGACAGACACTGACCGGCACCCATATGGGATCCCAGTACATTCAAGGTGAAGATTTGAAGCCACTAGGCTACCGTGCCAGGCCCGTCATTTGATTTTCAATGAAAACTTGTGAAATTGTTAGGGCAAGTGTGATGACTTAGTTTACATTTCAGGACATGGAGTCTCACAGACCCTGGAGGTATTTCTCAAGATCCCACAGGAGGTGGCAGCACTGAGCACCAGCAGAGGGCGCCGGCCCGCTGAGGGCTTGTCCTTCCAGCATCTGCTGCTGCTTCTGCCTGTTGGGATTTCAGTGGTCCTTATCATTGGTTCAAGAGCAAGGAAGGAAAAAAGTATTTACTGAGTCACTGTAACTACAATTTAGATCAATTTGACTTTGGTTATTTTTTTTAAGATTTATTTAAGACTTATTTATTTTTATTGGAAAGGCAGATACACAGAGAGGAGGAGAGACAGGAAAATCTTCTATCTGATGATTCACTCCCCAAGCGGTCGCAATGGCCGATGCTATGCCCATCTGAAGCCAGGAGCTTCTCCCGGGTCTCCCACGTGGGTGCAGGGTCCCAAGGCTTTGGGCCGTCCTCAACTGCCTTCCCAGGCCACAAGCAGGGAGCTGGAGGGGAAGTAGGACCACCGGGATTAGAATTAGCGCCCATATGGGATCCCGGGTGTGCAAGGCAAGGACTTTAACCACTGCGCCATTGTGCCAGGCCCCAATCTTACCTTTGAATAACAGTCTTAGAAGACTCAGAATATTCTGAGTCCAGTGTCGTGGCAATGGTTAAACCACTACATACCTGAGCAACTCATGTGAGCACGGGTTGAGTCCTGGCTGCTCCACTTCCCATCCTGCCTCCCGCTAATGTGCCTGGGAAAGCAGAAGATGGCGCACATGCTGGGGCCCCTACCACTGGCCCCGATGGAGTTCCAGCTCCGTCTTCGGGCCTGGCTCAGCCCCAGTGGTTGTGGCCGTTTGGGGAGTGAGTCAGCTGCTGAAATGTCTTCTCCCTTCCTTTCTAGAACTCTGCCTTTGAAAAATAATAAAAGAATCAGTCTCTTCTATAGTATGAACTTAAAAATCTTGGAGTACTTTGACAGAGGTGTAGTAAGTATATATAATTTGATTCTTTTGCCTCTTCTGTGGGTTTCTTGGGCGCTGAGATAGGGCAGCTATATTGAAAGCAAAGTAACACAATTATAAAGTGTTCACTTGTAAAAATCCTTAAAAATACAGAAAGTGAGAAAAAAAAAAAGGTGAAAAAGTTACCCGCACGCTCACGGTGCTGTGAGACTTCTGTGAACACGCTGACATATACTGCTTGGTTGCTTTAACGTGTTCTTACAGAGTTCACACTGTATATGCAACATGCTTTTTTTTTGTTGTAAAATGCAGTGACATAAATTGCAGTTTTCAAGTGCTTACAGACTTGATGATCAATGTTAAAAGCTGCTGCAAAAGCTTCACTTTGTAGCTGCATAAGTTTACTATGTCATTCTGATACCAAAACAACATTCTTTTTATTTTTATTTTTATTTTTTTTTATTGGAAAGGTGGATATACAGAGAGGAGAGACAGAGAGGAAGATCTTCCGTCCGATGATTCACTCCCCAAGTGAGCGCAACGGCCAATGTTATGCTGATCCAAAGCCAGGAGCCTCTTCTGGGTCTCCCACGCAGGTGCAGGGTCCCAAAGCTTTGGGCTGTCCTCGACTGCTTTCCCAGACCTCAAGCAGGGAGCTGGAAGGGAAGCGGGGCTGCCGGGATTAGAACCGGCGCCCATATGGGATCCTGGTTGTGCAAGGAGAGGACCTTAACCACTGCGCCACCGCTCCGGGCCCCAAAACAACATTCTTATAAAAAAACAGAGCCATACACATTTCTGGGGGAAATAATGTTGCCTACTTTGGATTATTTCCCTGGTACGAATCTTCCAAAAATGGAATTATTTAAACTATGAACCTTTTTTCTTCAGATAATATCTTCACAAATAGTTCCTAAAACAGTTGAATCAATTTTCACTCTTCTTTTTTTTTTTTAATGATTTAGTTATCTGAAAGGGTTCCAGAGAGAGAGAGAGTGGGGGAAGGAGGAAGAGACAAGAAAGAAATCTCCCATCTGTGGATTCATGCCCCAGATGGCCACAGTGGTCAGTGCTGGGCGGGCTGAAGACAGGAGCCTGGAGTTCCAGCTGGGTCTCCCATGGGGACGGCAGGGGCCCAAACACTTCCACTGCTTTTTCCAAGCTATTATGGTACAGGATGAGAAGTGGAGCAGCCAGGGACCAGTGTTGAGGGAGCAAGTTATGGGAATAACACTGTTTTAACAACGCTCAGCTGTGAGGAACCCGTAACGCATAAGGTTGACATCGACGGTAGGAGAGTAAAATGGTGCTGCCTCAGTCAGACTGGGGACAATTGATTTTCCCGGGAGTGGGGCTAGGCGGGCCTATGGTTGCCATGGTTACAGTCGCCCTGGCCCGGCTCCGGGATGTTGCGCAAGCGCACATAGCAGCTCTCCCCAGCCGGCGCCTCTGGGTTCGAAGAGGAAGCTCCGCCCTCCCCATCTCTCCGTTGGCCAATGGCCTTCTCCGAGTGCCGGTCGCGTGCTCACTGGGTGCCTGTGACGCAGTTTTCGCGCGCCCGCGTCGTTTGCAGCCGCGACGCTGAACATGGCGCGTTCCTAGAAGCCGCTTTCGGCATCAGTAGGCGGCAGCGTGTGGACAAGGCAGCGTGGGGCGCGGGAGCAACTGACGCCACTTTGTGTTGGGAAGTGGGAGCGGGACGGCCGTGTGGTTCCGGACCGAACCAAACGGTGAGGCCCCGGCCTGAGAGGCTCCGCGCGCGGGAGTGGAAGGGAGGAGTGGGCTGGGCAGCCGAGCCCCGGGAAGCAAGGGGAGGACCCGGGGGGCTGTGAGGGAGACCGGGAACGGCAGGACCGAGGCGCGGGCGGGCTGCAGGCTTGGCTCTGCATCCTCCCGGGAGCTCCCCGGGCTGGCGTGGTCGGCGGGGAGCCCAGCCATTATTGGTTGCCGTGGCGAGCCAGGGCCGGTGCCTTTGCCCTTGGGGAGAGGTGGTGCGGTTGGGAGAGAACGTGGTGCTGTCTAGCGTGTCCCCGTTGAACGTGGTTGTAGAGCATCCCACCCCCGTCCCCTTTTTTGGCTCAAAGGGGGCGCTGCCGTGAAAGTGTTAAACCTTAGCCCCATCCTTGCCTGTGATGAGGGAAAGTGATGGGAGTGAGACGTTTTCTGAGGAGAGCTTCGTGCTGAGGTATGGCCGCCGGGACTCAGGCTCAGCCATTTCCCTCAGCTTTCCGTTTGGGGCTTCGTGTGTGTGTGTGTGTGTGTGTGTGTGAGAGAGAGAGAGAGAGAAATAGAAATTCAACGGGATCATTTCTTGAGGCCCGTGGCGTTTGTCATTTGAAGCATCTTTTGTGACATGGAGGTGGATGAGAGAAGTCTTCCTCCCTCAGAATGACGTGGCTGAATAGTAAGGGCATGGCGAGGTAGTGCCTGGATTGTGAATGACCAGCTCTGTTGTCGTGGACTGGTGCCCTTGAGGTGTAGGTATTCTTCAGAAGGGAATAGGGAAGGGCAGTTTGCAGCCATGATGGTTCCCCCCACCTCACTTGCAGAGGGGTTTTCCTCATCCATTTCTCACGTGATTTCATACCTTGCTCCTTCAGTTTAAGGGCAGGGTGAGCCCCCCACCCCCACTCCCCTCAGAAGTTCATTGCATGGTGTCTTTTTCTTACATCTTTGAGAAAGATCTTGGTTAAAGCAGAAAAGAAAAATTCTCCCTGTTGCTTGTGATAGGGCTGGAACGTTGTTTTCCTGCTGGAACCTGGCACAGGGGATACATGGAAGCGATGTAATTATGGATTGCAAAGATGTGTGGATATGTGTTATAGCCCCAGGGCTGGAGGATGCTCCCACCCTAGTTAGAGAGGATTCTCTACGCATGTGAATTTCATTGTGGTAGCAGTGGTCAGGGTCCTAAGCAAAGATGTGAGGAGTGCTTATTAATTAGTAGAGAAGTCTTTAGATTTTGTGACGTGATCACTATATGTATGTCCAGAATCAAAGCAGAATGCCAAGTACTTCTTGTGGCAGGTAAAAGAAGCTGAAGATTTTGATGAATATACATTTTCTGCAAATAAAAACCCTCATGTGTTTGAAAGGTGATGTGTTTGGTTCGAGTTTGTGTTGGAAAAATGCGCCCATGTATGTTTGCATTTGATGTCACTTCATCCAATTCAGTGTTACTGGTGGTAATAGTACTTGTTCCTCTCTGTGTCAGATGGGGACTGTCAGTTAATTTCAGAGTGTCTCCGGGCTTGGCAGGGCCTGCTTAGTGCGGCTTGAGACCGGAGTTGTCTTTGGGAGCTTTGAAGAGCTTCAGCTAGGTCAGTGCTCTCCGCCCTGCCTATTCCAAACATGGGATCATCTGGGAATTGCTTAGTACTGCTCCGTCTCATGGCCAGGACGAGAACTCCTGACTCAGAGCGTGCCGTCAGTGGGAATGGCTGTGAAAGCTTCAGAGGTGGGGGTGTGATCAGTACAAGTTGAGGAGTTCCCTTTAAAAAATAACTTGCATGAAAATGATAACAAGTCTGAGATGATCTTATGCCGATTGTCAGCTGATTCAGCTGGTTGAAGAAATTGCATGCTGGAAGCGGAAAGGCCTGTTACCCGTATGCAGCGGTTCAAGGCCAGGCTCTGACTTGTGTGCTTCTTTTTTCTTTTTTTAAAGATTTATTTATTTTTATTGCAAAGTCAGATATATATATATATATATATGCATATATATATATCTGGTCTGGGCTGCCGACAGTCTTGATTTTTGCACTTACCTGCAGGGACTGTGTCCCGACAGAGGAGTTCCCCAGGCTGCTAATCACAGATCTTGTGCACATTGGTGGGTGCTACAGCCCAGCCCTGTCTGGCCAACCCCCAGTCCCAGTTCTCATGTGGTTCTGTGGGTGCCAAGACCTAGCTCAGCCTGTCTTACACCCTCTCTGGCTCTTGCGAGGCCTGGTGAGTACTGGAGCCTAGCCCAGTGTGGCACACTCCGACCCAGTACTCACCCATTCTGAGGGATGCTGTAGCCATGTCCAGCCCAGTTCACCACCTCCATTTCTACTCTTGTACTCACCAGCCCAGCCAGGGCATCCCTTTAACTCCCCGACACAGATCTTGCACCTGCTGGTGGTTGCTCTGACCCAGCCTGGCATAGTCAATCCACATGTCTTGGTCTTTACGATCATATATTGCAGCCTGGCCTGACCTGGCCTGCCTCAAGTCCCAACTCTTGCTGGTGCGTGCTACAGCCTAACCTTGCCTAGCCTGCCCTTTTTCTTGGCTTTCATACAGACCAGTAGGTGTGATAGCCTAGCCTGGCATGGACTATACCCCATCCTGTCTCCTGTTTCAGCCATAAGGTTTGGCCCCATTCTGCCCGGTCTGCCCCCATTCTGCCCGGTCTGCCCCATCACAGAACCAGCCTGCATACCTGCTAACAAGTGGAGCCTCCTGGCCTGGACTGGCCCACACCCAGCCTGATTCACATGTTCACCAGTGGGAGTATAGCCCGCCAGGGGAGTTCCCCAAGTTCCTGTATCAGGCCCACTTGAAGACCTGGATGTCTCACGTGGTGGCAGGTGCTAGGCCCTTACCCAGCCCAGTCTGTGCCCCAGTCTGTGCCCCAGTCTCTGTCTTTGTATGTGCTGGTGAGTGTTGCAGCACTGCACAGCCAACACCCAATGTTTGAGTGTGCCTGTGGGTGCTGCAGCCTGTAACTGCCTGGCCGGTCCTTTACCACAGCTTGCATGAATTCCATGTCATGGCTAGTTTGGCCCGTCACCACCCACAGCTCTTGAGCAAACCAGAGGGTGTTGCAGTTCCAGAGGGGAGAGCCTACAGAATCTGCCCCCAGACCTGGGGCGTGCTGCTTAGTGTCATGGTCCAGCCTAATGTGACCCATCTCCTGTTCCAGCATTCTCTGGCAGGTACTGTGGTCCAGGATAGACCCCCCCCAGCCCTAGTTTTTGCATGTGCCAGTGAGAGGTGGTCCATGCTAACTAAAGTCAGATCTCCTGTGTGGGCGGTTGCATTGGTCTGACCCAGAAAGGTTCTCCAGTTTCCCTTCTTGGGAAATTGGTTTCAGCCCCTTTGCTTACCTGCAGGTGCAGTGGCCTGGTTGGTGGAAGTCATTCCTCACCTGCAACATACTCCCTCAGTACTCCCCACTTCCACACATCCCTATATGCCCCTCCTTGAGCAATCCACAGTCCCTGTGCCCGATAGCACATGGGTTCCCCAGCCCGATCTTCCATTGCGGTAGCATGCTGGCCTGGAGCCCAAGTGCATGCACGGTTCCCCAGACCCAGTCTGCTGGCACACTATGCCAGCATGCCAGCCTGGGATCCTATCCTTTCGCCTGCTGGGACCTAAGCACATGCATGGGTCCCTTGTCCCACGCCAGCTTTCCTGCCCATTTGCCCAAGATCCAGGGGTGTGCATGATCCCCCAGGTCTGCTCCACTGGCCATGGTGGAAACCTGGATGGGGCGTTCCCTGGCACACTGGTGTAGTTAACAGATTTCTCATTAACCAGGCCCAGGTGCCCCCTAGCTATTGGCTTTTCTTCCAGTAGTGTAACAGTTGCCTAGGTACAAGGCAACCTAGGTGTGAAATAAGTTTTTAAAGATTTATTTTATTTGAAAGACAGAGTTACAGAAGAGGAGAGACACAGAGAGGGCCCTTCAGTGCACTGATTCACAGTGACTGGAGCTGAGATTATCTGAAGCCAAGATCATCTTCAAGTCCCCCATGTGGGTGCAGGAGCCCAGTGTTACAAATGTTCAAATAGTCCCTAGTGGAAAGGAGGTTCCCCACTCCTGATTTAATGAAGTGTTGAATATGTATTGAGAGCATATATCCTTGTCTTATTTCTGAACCTGGTGATACATTCATTAGTTACTACGTTGCTGCCAGATGCCCTAAATCAGATTAAGGGAGTTCTGTTTTGTGTTGTTCTGTTGGTATGTTGTAATGCAATGATTTTCATGTCTTGAATCCCTGGTAAAACCCCCCTGGTGGTGGCGGTGCGTGTTCATTGGGAGTATTCCTGGATCATTATTTCTGCCTGTGTGTTCATAAGACGTGTGTGTTTCCTGCTGTTTCAGGCACGGTGTCCCTGCTCTCTGAGTGAGCTCCTGCGGGCGCTGTTGAGGGCCTCTCTTGGCCTGCTGCCCTGGAGGAGAGCTGCTGCCCCTGGTGTGGAGTCTGTAGAAGAAGAGCATGCCTCAGATTTCTTGTGGTGCTTATTTGAAATAAATCTTTTGTAACTCGTAGCTGGGATGGTGAGGAAATGCCGGCTGGTTGCCCCTCTAGATGCAGCCCAGGGCACGGGTTGAGAGCCCTGGAGCCTGGAGCCCAGCCTTTGCCTGGTTCTTTGTTGTACATTATTTAGCAAGTCATCTCATGCGTGGTTCTTGGACACACCGGGAACATGCCATTCCCCTACGCGGTCCTTCCCTTTAAGGTCCTAGCTCTGTTAGTGACCTTCCCTGAATAAATCATTTCACACAGGAACCATTTTGATTTTTACATTCTTTTCAACTTTTGCTGTAATTGTATTCTTTTCCCTAAGTCACTACACTTGTTGCTTTAGCATTTCATTAGCTTGGTTGAGTTATTCTTTATGTGCAGTGCTCTGAAACTAGGAACGAGCAGTGCAGTAGACTAAGGAAGATTGTAGTGGCTGACATTCCAGCTGTGGAGGCCTGAGGAGCTGTCTGTGGTGGCTGATGTTCCAGCTGTGGAGGCCTGAGGAGCTGTCTGTCGGCAGCAGGCAGAGGCACTTAGTTTTTTCTTGCCAGTTCTTTCAATGAAAAATTCCTGGGCCCGGCGGCGTGGCCTAGTGGCTAAAGTCCTCACCTTGAATGTCCTGGGATCCCATATGGGCGCTGGTTCTAATCCCGGCAGCTCCACTTCCCATCCAGCTCCCTGCCTGTGGCCTGGGAAAGCAGTTGAGGACGGCCCAAAGCTTTGGGACCCTGCACCCGCGTGGGAGACCCGGAAGAGGCTCCTGGATCCCGGCTTTGGATTGGCATAGCATCGGCTGTTGCGCTCACTTGAGGAGTGAATCATTGGATGGAAGATCTTCCTCTCTGTCTCTCCTCCTCTCTGTATATCTGATTTTCCAATAAGTAAATAAATCTTTTTAAAAAAAAGAAAAATTCCTTATGTTTCTAACAGAAGGCATATTTGGGCTTTGAGTTTTTATCTTTAGGTGACTTACTCATGTTTTTGTTGGGAAATATGTCTAGGTTCTTTAAAGATTTATTTATTTTTTTTGGAAAAAGGCAAATTTACAGAGAGAGAGAGAGAGAGAGATTGATCCTCCCATCCACTGGTTCACTCCCCAAGTGGTCGATGGCCAGACCTGAGCTGATCTGAAGCCAGGAGCCAGGAGCTTCTTCTGTGTCTTCCATGCAGGTGCAGGATCTCAAGACCTTGGACCGTCCTCGACTGCTTTCCCAGGCCACAAGCAGGGAACTGGAAGAGAAGTGGAACATCTGGGATTTGAACCGATACCCATATGGGATCCCGGGGCACACACAGTGTGAAGACTTTAGCCACTAAGCTGCTGCACTGGGCCCTGCAGTTTGTTTTGAGGATATTCCTTACTGCCTTCCACTGTACTGTCCCACAGAAATTTGAATACAAAGTAGGAATAATTCTGTTGTTGTGAGACTATGTGTTGATGGCTAAAATGTATGTACTGAGTTTTTTTCTCTTAGCCTGTGTGCATTTTTGGAAGCGTGGCTCCAGGCAAAAAGAGAGAGCAAGCATGGTATCTGGGAGGACCTGAGTGGGCAGGGTGCTGGAGGGAGGTGTGGACAGGAAGCCCTAGTAGCTTCCATTGGAACAGGTGGATGGTACGGTGATTGAGGCAGGGAGATAGTGGTACGAAGTCTTGAAGATTGCCGTGCTGTGAGGGTTCAGTGGGATTAAGTGTGCCTTAACGTAAGAAATTGCCATGGGGTTTAGTAGCAGGGCAGGAGTTTATAAGTAGCATTATAAAGCAGGGCTTTTCCCCCTTGCTTTTTTGTTTTCTTTGGTTGGTTTTGGCGGTTGTGGTTGGTAGAGGTAAGGCCGGTAGGGGCCAGATAGGGATTCACACTCTATTCATCTGTTTGTAGCAATACAGTCTGTAGTCTTAGTATTATGACTTTTGTACATCTGCCAAAAAAAAAAAAAAAAGTCCAGATACTGGTATTTCACCCTACAAGATCCTAGAGAGCTGCTGCGTCTCTGGCTTCATCTTGTGTCGCTTTGTCCTTTCCTCGTTCTCAGCTGTGCTCCCTTTTTGAAGTTCTAGTCACCCGGCCTTTTAAAAAGCTGTATGTGCTGCTTGTCAAGGCTGGGCCTTCAGACCTTTGCATTTCTTGCCTGGAAGATCTCACTGCAGGGAACCCTTGTGGGGCACTGGGTCTAACGTAGCACGTTCAGGTAGTTTGTGTACCTGAGCCCCGGGCCTCAAGGGCGAGGTTGGCATCACTCCCACAAGGGGAGGACCAGTGACTACCCTTCAGCGAGGTGAAGGCTCTGCTGCTTCAATTTTCCACCTAAATGGTACTAGTGCCTACCACAGTAGGATTTTTATCTGAACTAGGTGAGTGAAGCTCTTAGCACACTGCTGGTGACTTCACACATCCTTTTGTTCCTTTGTTTATTTTACTTTTAGCTGGCTACACTTGTACTGATTGGGAAAGAATCAGTGTGTTCTCACTCTTCATGTCCTGATGGCTTCTGTTCTGCAGCGGTTCAACTGCAGCTCTGTGCTGGTTGACCTCTGCTTCAGAGGGCTGCAGAGTTGCAACCACTGTGTCTTTTGTCATCTGCCACGTGAGCAGTTGACTCTCACATGACTCTCACATGCTTTTGAGGCACTTGCACGGTTTACCCAGAGTTAAAGCCGCGCCTTCGGCCCCGTGTCCCTCCCTTCCTTCCCTGTTCTTGCCGGTGGGTTTGGAGAGAGCAGGCAGAGTGTGCTTTAGGATGCTGGCGAAGAGGCTGCTGCATGGCTGCGATGTGGTGCCCACTGCCGTGCGTGGCTGCTCAGCATCTGAAATGCCATGCTTTCTCAGTGTATAATGGACACAGGGTTTCGTGAGTTAGTATAAAAATATGGAAATTTTAAAAATACTGATAGCATGTTGACATGATAGCATTTTAGACATACTAAACCAAGTGTGTTGTGCGGGCTTTGTGGTGCAGCAGACAAACCTCTGCCCATGGTGCTGACATGCCACATGGGTGCCAGTGAGTGTCCCAGCTGCTGCACCTGGACAATGCCCTGGGGATGGCAGCTGAAGATGGTGCAGATGTTCAGGCCTGCTACCTACACAGGCGATGAAGCTGCTTGCTCCTGGTGTGGATCTGCTGCAGCCCTGGCCACCGCAGCCATTTGGAGTGGACCAGTGGGTGGAGGATCTTTCTATCCCGCCTCCCCTCCCCTCTGTAACTCTAAGTGGCAAATAAATAATCTTTCTAAAAAACCAAATACTTCATTTCTGGTTTCTTTTGGCAACTAGAAATTGTACAATTTTATCTGTGACTTGCTTTTGTGGTATACCTTACATTTCTAGAGAGAGGAATGTATTATCTTTAGTATTTTTTTTTTTTATTAGAAAAAGGAAGAGAGAATGCTAATGTGCTAACTTTCAAGAACTCTAGAACTCTTCTGGTTTGTTCCCCAAATGCCTGCAGTAGCCAGGGCGGACGCAGGGTGAGGCCAGGCTCCCGGAGCCGCATCCTGTTCTCCGTCAGTTAACGGGACCCAGGTGGGAACCATCGTCTGCTGCCTCCCGAGGTGCAAATTAGCAGGAAGCTGGAATCAGCAGAGCGGACACTCCATCCTAAGGCCCAGGTCCAGGATGTGGCTGTCCTAAGTGCCTTGGTAACTGTGAGGTCAAATGCCAACCCTTTGTTTTTAAAATTTAAAAAATTTTGGGGCCCGGCACGGTGGCGCAAGTGGTTAAGGTCCTCACCTTGCACGCCCGGGATCCCATATGGGCGCCAGTTCTAGTCCCGACAGCCCCGCTTCCCATCCAGCTCCCTGCCTGTGGCCTGGGAAAGCAGTCCAGGACAGCCCAAAGCTTTGGGACCCTGCACCCGCGTGGGAGACCCAGAAGAGGCTCCTGGCTTCGGATCGGTATAGCATTGACCGTTGCGGCTCACTTGGGGTGTGACTCATCGGATGGAAGATCTTCCTCTCTGTCTCTCCTCTCTGTATATCCGCCTTTCCAATGAAAAATATAATAAAAATAAAATCTTAAAAAAAATTTTTTTGAAAAGCATTATGCTCGGAATCTTGAGCAGGCCAGCGATGTCTAATCAGAATTTAAGAACTTCAATCCCAACTTCCTCTTCTGGTTGTGAAACAACGAAAGGCAGTTTCCTTTAGAATTAAATTGATATAAATATAAATGATTTAGATGATCAGAGTTTGAGTGTGAAGATTATGTGCAAATCAGGCAGAAACATGAAGGCGCATGAGGTGTAGCGGTAACTTGTGCTCGCCTGGGCAGCATACACACTAAAGTTGGATTAATACAGAGGATTAGCTTGGCTCAAGGGTGACATGCAAATTTGTGAAGCATCCATATTTTTAAGATTTTTAAAAGCATATCTATTTTTGACACTCATTTTTATTGGAAAGGCAGATTTATAGAGATAACGAGAGACAGGGACAAAGATCTGCAGTCTCCTGTTTTATTCCTCAGATGGCCACAGTGGGCTGGGGTTGAGCGTATCTGAAGGCAGGAGCCAGGAGCTTTGGGTTTCCCACATGGATGCAGGGTCCTAAGGCTTTGGGCCATGCTTGGCTGCTGTTCTTAGCCCATAGCAGGGAGCTGGATGAGAAGTGGAGCCGCTGGGACATGAACTGGAACCCATGTGGGATGTTGGCACTTGCATTTGGAGGATTAGGTAATTTAGCCAGCATGCTGGCCTTATTTATCTTAAAAAATCAGAATTCTAGAAAGATAGAGGGAGGGGAGGAGGGAAAGAGAGATCTTTCATCTGTTGGCAGGTGAGAAAGAAAGAATGACAATTTTCCATCTGCTGGTTCACTCCCCAGATGAGCCAGAGGCCAGGGCTGGGCCAGGCTGAAGCCAGCGGCCTCACCAAGGAGCTTTGTGCATCTGCGTGGGAGACCTGAAGGAAGCTCTGGCTTTGGCCTGGCTCAGCTAGGGCCATTGTGGCCACTTGAGGAGTGAACCAGCAGATGGAACATCTTTGTCTGTCTCTTCTCTCGGTGGATGTGTCTTTCCAATAAAAATGAATAAATCTTAAAAAGGAAATAACTGGGAGCATGAAAGTGCTTTGCCTTCCGATTACGTTACTATTTTGTTAATGTGGAATGTATATTCAAGTATGTTAATTTCTCCTTACCAGGTTTCCATGGATCTCAACAGTGCCAGCACTGTTGTTCTTCAGGTCTTAACGCAGGCCACCAGTCAGGATACGGCTGTCTTAAAACCAGCGGAGGAGCAGCTCAAGCAGTGGGAGACACAGCCAGGGTTTTATTCAGTGTTGTTGGTGAGTTCTACAATAGTGTACTTCTGCCTTTAATGATCAGTTATTTTAATTTTTAAAAACTTTATTACAAAGTCACATATACAGAGAGGAAGATCTTCTGCCTGCTGATTCACTCCCCAAGTGGCCACAACGGCCAGAGCTGAGCCGATCTGAAACCAGCAGCCAGGAGCTTCTTCTGGGTCTCCCACACAGGTGCAGGGTCCCAAGGCTTTGGGCTGTCCTCAACTGTTTTCCCATGCCACAAGCAGGGAGCTGGCTGCTGGGATTAAAACCAGCACCCATATGGGATCCCGGCACGTTCAAGGCGCTGACTTTAGCTACTGGCTGCCGTGCCAGGTTTTGATGTTTTAAAAACTAGTTTTATTGATGACTTACTTTAGAGTTTGGGTTTTCATTTCTGGTCAGACCCCTGAGGCTGCCAGTTGAATCAGAGAGTAATTCAGAATAAAATTGTATTTTGCAATATAGAATAAATTAGCAGTTGACATACGTTCTGTTTTTGGCTAAAAAGTGAGGTGTTTGTTAAGTTTATCATGACTTCAAGAGAAATTAAATGTTTAGAGTCATACCTGAGTGCAAGCAAGTGATTTTTAAAAAGAAAGAGGTACAGAGAGTTTGCAGTCTTGGCTTCGCTGCCCATGTCCCTGCCGTGGTTGGGGTTGACCATGCTGGAACCAGGAGGCAGGAAGTCGGACTGGGTCTCCGGTAGCACCTGCTGCTCGCTAGTGCGTGCGTTAGCAGGAAGCTGGACTCGGGAGTGGACATGAACCCAGGTGTCCTAACGGAGCGTAGGCATCACCGTGATTTCTTAACTGCTACGTCAGACACCCACCCTACTTTGGACTTATTTTAGCTCTAGTTGTCCACTTTGTGTCCTTGATCTCCGGATTCCTTTGCAGTTCTTAGGGAATGGTTGGGTTGACGGCTGCATCCTGCCTTGGGTTCTCAAGGGCAACTGAATCCGGCTCAGGCCCAGCAGCTTCCTCAGTATTCCCTTTGTTCACTCCTTTGCTCACGGAACTCCATTTCAGTGCTAGCAGCATCCCAGCATCCGAGTTGAATGGGATTCAAGAAGTGCGTTCTGTTTCCTTTTTGGAAAGTCTGCAGAAGGGCTTCTGACTCAGTTGCCAAGAGTCTGAAGGGATAAGTGGGAGTCACACGGCTGTCCGTGTGATTTTTTTTTTTCTGGTGGTGTGCACATGCTTATCTGAAAGCGATATTGTATGATTATCTGTTTTTAATGCATCACATAAATGTATTCATACCAAGGAGCATACTTACCACACAATAAATTTTTGTTTTATTTAAGCAATTTTTTAAAAAAGATTGGTGTATTTTTTTTTTAAAGATTTATTTTTATTATTTTTTCATTGGAAAGGCGGATATACAGAGAGGAGAGACAGAGAGGAAGATCTTCCGTCCGATGATTCACTCCCCAAGTGAGCCGCAACGGTCGATGCTATGCCGATCTGAAGCCAGGAGCCTCTTCTGGGTCTCCCACGCGGGTGCAGGGTCCCAAAGCTTTGGGCCATCCTCGACTGCTTTCCCAGGCCACAAGCAGGGAGCTGGAAGGGAAGCGGGGCTGCCGGGATTAGAACCGGCGCCCATATGGGATCCCGGGTGTGCAAGGCGAGGACCTTAACCACTGCGCCACCGCGCCGGGCCCAAGATTGGTGTATTTTTATTTGAAAGGCCAAGTTACAGAGAGAGAGAGAGGTGGGGAGTGTCCGAGTCTGCAGTGACTACACGTGGACCTGTCCGAGGCTGGGAGCCAGGAAGTTCCTCCAGGTCTCCATGTGGGTGCAGAGAACCAAGGGCTTTTGGCCATCTTTGCTCTCATCCCAGCCGGAAGCAGGGAGCTGGGACTGAAAGGAGCATCCGTGTGGCGTGCTGGCATTGCAGGTGGAGGCTTAACTCAATATGCCATGGTACTGCCTGCTCCTGCTCCTCCACCCCCCAAGGTTTTTTTCTTAACTTTTTTTTATAAGATTTTTTTATTTGTATTTGAAAGGCAGATTTACAGGGAGGAGAGACGGAGAAGTCATCTGTCCACTAGTTTACTCCCCAAATGGCTGCAGTGGCCGGAACTGAGCCCATCTGAAGCCAGGAGCCTCTTTTGGGTCTCCTGTGAGGGTGCAGTGCCCCAGGGTGTTGGGCCATCCTTCATTGCTTTTCCTGAGCCACAGGCAGGGAGCTGGATGTGAAGTGGAGCAGCTGGGACACAAACTGGCACCCATGTGTGCTCCTGGCGCTTGTAGTGGGAGGATTAACCAATTAAGCCATTGCAGTGGATCCTATGAGTTTAATTTTTGACTGGGCTAATATTCAGACATGGTTAAAAACTAGAGTAGTATAATGAATTTCTGTTCAATGTCCATTAGACAACTTAGAATAGACTACTGGGAAAATATGTTATCTTAGTTGAATTGTAGAATATGCCTAATGTGTAAAGTAAGAATGTGTTTGTTCATTAAACAGAACATTTAACTGAAATATCCCTACATATTTTATTGTAGGGGAATACTGATTTTTTTATACCGTGTTTTTACTTACAGAATATTTTCACAAACCACACTCTGGATATAAATGTTAGATGGCTTGCTGTTCTGTATTTTAAACATGGAATCGACCGCTACTGGAGACGTGTTGCACCTCAGTAAGTTCTTTGCACATCCGATCTTTTATAAACTGTAAGAATGTGCCTGTTGATGTTAAGGGGTATGTTGCTACTTACTTTGACAGCATGTATCTGTAGGTCTCAGAACAGCAGAGAGGATGAGCATGCTGCTCTGCCAGGAGCACGTGGAAATGTGTGGGGCATTTGCAAAGCATTTGGTGTTTAGAAGAAAAACCAAATTATTGATGTATGTGCTTAATTCGGATTGGTAGCTCTGCTGTGTTACTCCATGGTGTGTGGGTGTGTATGCATCTTTGGTTGGCTTGTTTGAAAGACTGAGATGAAGGAATGAGTGATGCTGAAGCAGAAAGCCTTATTTCCTGTTGGTTTGAACAAGAATATGCTAAGATTTTGAAAAACAAAAACAAAACGCATGGTAAAGGAAATCCCAGGTCATTTCTGAATAAGGTGGATTTCAATTCCAGCCTCGGTGGGGGTCACACAACATTTGTAATGTCATCAAATTTGGTTGTAACTGTTGAGTGTTACGTAATAGATGACATAGATGAGATCCTGAAATCTAAGGAAGTAGTGAACGCTGCCATTGTTGACCAGAAGGTGGCACTGCAGGTCTGGGAATTGTCCCATTTGTAAAACCTTTTTAAGATTCTTGTCATAAGGACTGCAAACTGCTTATCAAATGTGCCCTTGATTAATAGTGGAAGTAACTGGAATATTTTTAAGCTGCATTTACGTTACTGTGGTATAGCGCAGGTCTTTCTCATTCTTAGGATTGTTCATAATTTTGGCAGAAATGTAGATTTGTATTGGAAGTACTTAAAAATCTGCTTGATTCTTTTATAAATTTTTGCTTGTGTAGTTCTTGCTTTTTACCATTACTTTTTTTATGAGTCTTAATATTTTTTGATTAAAATTTTTTTTTTTTGGAATTTTATCATGCAATTCCATAGGGTCTGGGATTCCCCCCAACTCCCCTAATTCCCAAACCCCAACTGATTTTCCCCATATTATTACAATAGTATAGTTCTTCATAAGCAGTCGTAAGTCTTTCAGTGTGTGCTGCCATTGCTGGTACTGACAGTGGCAGACAGTCCAGCATCCCACTGTCTAGATATGCCCAACAGTTTCACTGGGAGTCCATCTTTGATTTGGAAGTAGGGATGCATACTGCGTTGTATCTTCACATCTGAGTATGATAGTCTCTATGGCATCATTATACATTCCCTCAAACGAGAAGCCACAAAACAAAATCAACAACAGGTACGAAGTTAAAATACAAAGTTTACAGCACCTTGAAGTTGAAAAACGGGCCACTGAATAACCAACTCATGGGTGAAGAAAACACAAAAGCCTCTTGGGTAAAATGATGCCATTGTGCAATTCATGACAAGAGAAAACAAACTATTTGAAAGAAATGAAAGTGGAAGCAAGAACAACACGTGCTGGTGTGGGTGTAGGGAGAAAGGTTCTCTCTTTCACTGCTGGTGGGCTTGCAGGCTAGTACGACCACTATGGAAGTCAGTACAGAGAGTCCCTAGAGAATCGTAAATAGAACTGCCGTATGACCCAGCTGTCCTGCTCCTAGGAACATACCCAGAGGAAAGGAAAACTGCCTGTGAGAAGGGGATCTGTAATCCTGTATTTACAGCAGCACAACCTACCATTAGTTTTATAGAAGGTGATTAGCTAACTTAAGCTTCTATCCTTCCTGTAAAGATAGAATTTAATTGCACATTAGTAGGGAGCTGCTCGGAAGCGGAGCAGCCTGGATTCAAACCAGTGCCCAAAGGAATGCCAGTGTTTCAGGTGGTGGCTTTCCCCGCTCTATGCCGCAGTGTGTGTTTCTGCCTGTCTTTTATGGCCCTCTTGGTGAAATTTGTACAATCTAAGCGTATGGAAACACTCTGCAATCTATTTAGCTACAAGTTTTTTTTTTTTTAAGATTTATTTTTATTATGTTTTTATTGGAAAGGCGGATATACAGAGAGGAGAGACAGAGAGGAAGATCTTCCGTCCGATGATTCACTCCCCAAGTGAGCGCAACGGGCCGATACCATGCCGATCCGGAGCCAGGAGCCTCTTCCGGGTCTCCCACGCGGGTGCAGGGTCCCAAAGCTTTGGGCCGTCCTCGACTGCTTTCCCGGGCCACAGGCAGGGAGCTGGAAGGGAAGCGGGGCTGCCGGGATTAGAACCGGCGCCCATATGGGATCCCGGGTGTGCAAGGCGAGGACCTTAACCACTGCGCCACCGCGCCGGGCCCTAGCTACAAGTTTTGTTTGACTCTGGCTTTCGGCTGTCTTGATCTGTCTTTACACCTGGCGCACGGGCGCGGTTCGAGGCAGCTTGTGTGTTTTTTCCCTGTTGCAGTCCAGTGGCGTCCTTTCGGTACACCAGGCGCTTAGTATGTGTGTACCCGGCTTCCGCTCCCGCTGTTGCCAAAAGATGTCAGAAATGGAAGCCACAGGGCTGCTTCAGTAGCCTAGTGGTTAAAATCCTCACCTTGCATATGCCGGCATCCCATATGGGCACTGGTCTAATCACAGCATCCTGCTTCCCATCCAGCTCCCTGCTTGTGGCCTGTGGAGGAAAGCCCAAAGCCTTGGGACCTTGCACCCGCCTGGGAGACCAGGAAGAAGCTCCTGGCTCCTGGCTTCAGATTGGCTCAGCTCTGGCCATTGCGGTCACTTGGGGAGTGAATGAACAGATAGAAACTCTTCCTCTCTGTCTCTCCTCCTCTCTGTGTATCTGACCTTCCAATAAAAAGGAATCTTAAAAAAAAAGAAAAGAAATGAAAGTCATGGTCCCAGTTTTAGGACTGTTCTTGGCTTTAAAAAGCTTGTCTGTAGTGGAATTAGGCTTTTCTCTTAAGATGCTGCATCGGCTAAAGGTACCGTATGAAAACAACAGATGTTGAGGGGGGCATTTTATACTCTGGCCTGTTGGAAAATTTAAATATTTGGCAATGAAAAAAATCTGGTGTTGAAGTTTTCAGTGCTGCTAAACCCTGTGTCTAGGGCGTGCAGCCAGGAAGGGCTGAGGGCAGCTGCCGGCGGACTTCTCCCCGAGCTGCCAACCTCTGCTCCCTCCACTTCTGCATTTTCTTTCTTTTATCTTTTTTTTTTTTTTTTTAAAGATTTGTTTATTTTTATTGGAAAGTCAGATGTACAGAGAGGAGGAGAGACAGGAAGATCTTCATCTGCTGATTCATTCCCCAAGTGACAGCAGTGGCTGTAGCTGAGCTGCTCCGAAGCCAGGAGCCAGGAACCTCTGGGTTTCCATGTGGGTACAGGTTGCCAAGGTATTGGGCCATCCTCAACTGCTTTCCCAGACCACAAGCAGGGAGCTGGATGGGATGTGGGGTTGCCGGGATTAGAACCGGCATCCATATGGGATCTCTGCGCGGGCAAGGCGAGGGCTTTAACTGCTAGGCTACTGCTCTGGGGCCAGGTATGTTTTCAAGATGACCACAGCTGTGCTTCGTTTCTCTTTGTATTTTGGTGTCAGTGATGCTTTTCTGTTTTTTACCTCCCAAGCTGAGTATGTTTTGATGGATGCTAAACATCTTATATATAGTTAAAAGTTGAGCGACTCTGAATTCTGTTTGTTTAGCATTAATTTTCTCTGGGCAAGCAGACAGAATTCGACCTCACCCTTGACACAGTTGAGCTTAGTTTGTTTCTGGTTTGCTGTTACTCTCAGATTGTGGCTTTCCTGGGGCTTCTCGCCGGGAAGCCTCGGCTGTTTACCAGCATAGTGCTTTCTTGTTAGGGGATAAACTCAATTTTTTTGTCTCTTCAGCATGTGAGATCAGCTGAAATCTCTCTCTAGCTTTTTAGTCTCAGCTGGATTTTTTTGGGCGCGTTTCCAAAGGGAAAATGTCCTGGCTCATCACAATTCTTTTCTTTTTTTCTGAGAAGATCTCTGAAGTCCGCCCTGGTTAGATTGTGTGTGTGTGTGTGTGTGTGTGTGTGTGTGTGTGTTTATATTATTTTCCCAGAGCTGCAACAAGCGATCACAAATTAAGTGCTTAAAACAACAGATGCTTATTTTCTTACTCAGTTCAGGAGACAAGAAGTCCAGCGTCCCAATGGCAGCAGGGCCGTGCTCGCTTTGCCCTGGAAGCGGCCCTGGCCTGCTTTGCCCACCTGCTGGAGGTCCGTCCCTGGTCTGGCGTGGCTGCCCTCTGCCCGCATTGCCCTCTGACCTTTGCTGAGCCGCATGTTTCTATGTTCCCAGTTTGCTCTTTTTTTTTTTCCCCATTTTTTCCCCTTTATTTTTGACAATCTTTACAAAGTTAATTAGGGCACAAAGATTCAAGGGCTACAAGAAAGTGGGTAAGACTATTTCCACATTTTTTCCGTATATGTTGGGTAAAGGGGGAGATAAAAGGAGAAGTCCCACCCAGCCTCCCACCCATCCCAGGTCCCCGATATGGGGCATGCTCCGAGGGTCCTGCTCAAGTGGTTTTGATAGTTCAACAGTTCTGAATTGCTGCCAATCTCACCATTCCAAGCACGATGAGGTCGCCGCAGAATCCACTGGCTGACATAGTCACACTAGAGTCTGCGTTTGCCCAGTTTTTCACTGCCAGCATATGGCTGGGGTAGTGGGTTGATGTGTTCTGTCCTCTGCTGTGGTGCCAGGCGTCCTCTGCAGGTTCCAAGAGACTGCCATATCCTCAATGCAGCTGGTTATGCTCTCCACTGCTCCGTCTGAGCCTCTGAGGAGGCTAGGCTCTGACACTTGCACTCCATGGTCCGACCCTGGAACCTGCACTTCATGGTTAGGGTTCTGAGTCCGACAGTTCAACTGGGGAGATCCCCAAAGAAACTTCATCTGAGGTGATCCCAGACCAGATTCTTTTTTTTTTTAAGATTTATTTTTATTATTATTTTTTTTTATTGGAAAGGCAGATACACAGAGAGGAGAGACAGAGAGGAAGATCTTCTGTCCGATGATTCACTCCCCAAGTGAGCGCAACCGCCGAAGCTATGTCAATCTGAAGCCAGGAGCTTCTTCCGGGTCTCCCACGCGGGTGCAGGGTCCCAAAGCCTTGGGCCGTCCTCGACTGCTTTCCTGGGCCACAGGCAGGGAGCTGGAAGGGAAGTGGGGCTGCCGGGATAGAACCGGCACCCATATGGGATCCCGGGCGTGCAAGACGAGGACCTTAACCACTGTGCCACTGTGCCGGGCCCCAGACCAGATTCTTGTGTGTACTTGCCAATTCAGGGTGCGGCACAGTCCATTGCCCCAATCAGCTGGTGGTTGCAATTGCTGGGTCGGTTCTGTTTCTAGCCCTGTCTTCCATGCGAACCAATGAGTGATGCAGTCCGACCTGGTTCTGCCCAGCACTCACTTGACTCTCACATAAACCAATGGGAGCTGCAGCCTAGTTGGAGCGACCCACAATAACCCCCACCAGGCCCGCCCCCTGCCCTGGTTTGCCAATATGTGCAGCAGACTAGTCCAGTCTGTTCCACATCCCATTCAGCTCTCATACATGTCAATGAATATTGAAGCCTCATTCAACTTAACCAGCTCCACTATCCAGCCCACACACATACTGGCAGGTGCCTTTCTGTCTAGCCACCCCTGCCCCTGTCCTGGTTTTCATGCTCTCTGGTGGGAGTGGTAACCCAAGAGGGAGGAGCCCACTATTTCCCTTCTAGGCCACTCCCACTCCCAGATTATGCACTCTCCAGGTGGTTCTGGAGTTTAATTCGACAGTGCCAACCTGTGCCAGCTAATGCTGCGGCAAAGCCCAACCAACCCTCACCAACTAGAATTTTTGCTTGCACCAGTCGGAACAGTCAGCCCAAGTTGGCTTTTCCCTGATCTAGTCCACATGAGGCGCACAGGTGTTGTGGCCCTGCCTGGCCTGATCTGCCTCCATCCCGACTCACTGTCTCCAGTGGAAGTGGCTGTCTAGTAGGGAAGTCTGCTTTCCCCCTGCCGGCTTTGCCCCCTCCCTCCCTGGTTCTCACGTGTGCTGTTTGGGCGCTGTGGCCACATCTGGTACGGCTCACCTCACCTTGGTATTCCGCAGTGTGCACTGTTTTGACATGACTGAACCTGGCCTGACCCTGTTCTGGTGCTTGGATTCGCCAGTGGGTGATGTGAACTGGCCCAGCCTGGTCTGCCCCCGACCCATGCCAAATGTATTCCAGAGGGAAACTTTCCATGGCCTGTTCTGGGCTGTTCCCTATCGTGGTTCTTTTGCTCACCTGCAGGTACTGTGTCCTGCCAGAGGAGTTGCTCAGGCTCCTGCATCAGAACCTGTCCCTATGCCAGATCTTGCGCTTATTGGTGAGTCCGTGGGCCAGTCCTACTCAGTCCACTTCCTGTCCTAGTAGGAACAGTGGCCTTTCCTAGCTGTCCTTCAACCCAATCTGGTTCTTACTGTTGGATAATTTAGCCCAGCCAAGGCTTGTCCATACCCAGACACTGCTCACACATGGCTCAGTAGGGGCAGAGACCTAGCCTAGTCCGTCCTACATCTACCCAGGTTCTCCAGAGCACCAGATGGTATTGGAGTCTAGCCCAGCTTGGTGCGTCCAGTCCCAGTCCACACTTGTGCCAAGGGAGATTGCAGCCATATCTAGGCCAGGACACAGCCCCCGCTCTGGCCCCCCGCACCCAGGAGGGGGAACCTCAACCCAGCAAGGGTATACTTTCACAGCTCCCCAACCGGACCTGTTCCCAGCCATAGGTCGCGCACATGCCAGTGGTTGCTCTGACCCAGCTTGGCACAGCCCCTCACTTGTCTTGGCCTTTGCCTTCGATGCTGTGGCCTGGCATCCCTGGCTCATGCAGACCAGTCGGTATAAGAGCCTAGCTTGGCATGACCTGTGCTCCATCCTGATTTCTATTTTTGCTTGTGAGCTAAGGTTTGCTCAGTCCTGCCTGGTCCACCCCATTCCATTACCAACCCACACATTAGCCAGCCATTGGAGCTACTTTGCCCAGCTTGTCTGACCCCCAGGTCTGGACCATGTGTTCACCAGCGGGAGCTATGACCCACCAGGGGAGTTTCCCAAGTTCCTCCACTTGACCCACTCCCAGACCCAGTTCTCATACATGCCAGTGGGTGTTAGGCCAGTGCCCAGCATAGTCTGGCCTTCCATTTGGCCTTGTATGAGCTGGTGAACATTGCAGCCCGGCCCACCCCACACCCTATTCAGGATGCACATTCAGGTGCTGCTGCTTTGACCAGCCCAAACCATTGAGGGTTCCTTTACCTGTGAGTGATGGCAGGTTCCTTGGTCACACCTAGCTTAGTCTATCACCACCCCAACTCTTGAGCTAACCAGTGGGACTAGTATTTCCACAGGGTTTGGCCCACACATCCCCCACAGAATCTACCCCCGGAAATGGTTCTCTCGTGTGCTGGTTAATGTCATGGCTCTGCCTAATGTGACCCATCTCTTGAGGCATCATTATGTCAGGTACTAGGATATGGTCCTGCTGGACAAGCCCCCAGCCTTAGCTTTTGCACAGACTGGTGTACGGTGGTCAGCATTGTTCAGTGATAACAAGTTCTGTACAGGACTTAAAGGAGGCTGGCATGTCAGTCTTACCCATAAAGATCATCTAGTCCCTTGCTTACCTTCAAAGGAAAAGTTACTCTGTGATTGGGAGTCTTCAGGATTGATTCACAACCCAGAAGCACAGTGGGCTGAACATGGAGGTACCTAGGCAGCAATTCATAGCCCCAAAACCCCAGAGTTCGCCCCTCCCAGTCGCATCCACTGCAGGATGTTGGCGGCGGGTGGGGCCTGGGTCTGCCATCTTCTCCAGATTTCCCCTCTCAGTGTACTCACCAGGAAGGGAGCAGCCTCTGGAGCTCAGGCAGGCCCGGGGACAGCTCACTGTATGTTCCTGGTGGCTGGAATCAAGGCTCTGAGCATGGAGACTCATCTGGCCTGGGACCTGCCAGGAGCCAACAGGCTGCTAGAAGTTTTCCCCCCCGGACCCCAAGGTCGCCCCTCCCAATCCCATCCACTGTACGATGTTAGCCGCAAGTTTGCTCTTACATGGACAGCACAGGGTGAGTTAGGGCCCCCTCAGTTCAGTAGGACTCTACCCTAGCATCCTAGTATGAATACCTTTTCAAAGATGACATAAGACAACATGAAAAGTACCTGGGGTAAGGATTTGTGTGTTCGGTTTGTGGGCAGGGACACAGTTCAGTTCACAGGAGATGGCATTTTTTTAGAAAATTGAATACAACTTTTTTGATCTAGTTGAATGATTGGTCTCATTCCAACTACTCCATTATTGCCAAAATGGAAAAACTTAAAAGCTTTAAATTTGACATAAAATACACAGTTTAAAATTTAGCACATGTGATTTGGAGCAATGAATATTCTTCGTCCATGTCCTTCAATTTTGTTTCTTTTTTTTAATATTTCATTATTTTTATTTGAAAGGCAGAGTTACAGAGAGAAAAGGAGAGAGAGAATGAGATCCTTTATCTGCTGGTTCAATCCCCAAGTGAAAACAGTAGCTGTGGCTGAATGACTGAAGCCAGGAGCCACGTGTTTCTGCCCAAGCACTTGGGAACCTTCCGCTGCGTTGGTGGTGGAGCAGCTGGGACTTGAGCTGGTACCTGTGTGGGCTGCCGGCACTGAGGGCGGGGCTTACGCTCTGCCACCGGGCTGGCCTCTGACCTTCAGTTTTCTACTGTACTTCAGTCTAAGCCGTAAAAGTGACTATCTTACAAGTGTAAGATGAAAACTTTTAAACTAGTCAAAATCTGTGTTCAGTTTAAATGTTCTCTAGCCTAAAATTCTTTCTGTAAAATCACCTCAGATTCCATGAAAGAATAATATGCAAGAATAATATTTGTTCTTATAGATTTCCCTTTTTAGCAGATTTCTTATATATATATATATATATATTTGTTTGTTTTCTTTCTTTTTATATACATATATGTATATATATATATATATATATATATATGTATTTTAAAGATTTGTTTCTTTACTTTTTTACTTACTTGGAAGTCAGAGTAACAGAGAAAGAGGGAGAGACAAAGTAAGATTCTTAGCTGGTTCACTCCCTAAATGGCCACAGTGGCCAGAGCTGGGCTGGTCTGAAGCCAGGAGCCAGGCGTTGCTTTGGGTCTGCCATGAGGGCGCAGTGGCTCAAGGGTTAGGTCATCCTGCATTGCTTTCCCAGGCAATAACCAGGGAGCTGATTCAGAATGGAATAGCCTGGACATGATCTGGCGCCCTTAGGGATGCTGGCTGTGCGGGGGGAGAAGTAGCCTGGTGATGTTCCACTGGGAAGGTAACTTTTGACGTCCGTGAAAGTGCACATTAAAATATTATATTGATTACCTTGGGTTTGTCTTACTTCCTCTTGCTTACTGTGTTGTACTTATTTAATTGCAAAAAAAAATTTGTGTTTCTGACTTAGTGTGTGCTTCAGTACACAAGTAATGGAAGTATTTTTTACTTACCAAAAGCAGCAGAGACACATGATTAAAGGGCTTTTTATTGTAACATTCACAGTAGTGCTAATTTGCAGTCAGTATTGGGTGGCGTTCTTATGCATAATGATTTATCTTTTTACAGTGCTCTCTCTGAGGAAGAAAAAAGCACTTTGCGTGCTGGGCTGATCACCAACTTCAATGAACCAATAAACCAGGTGAGGAAATGAATGTTGGTTCTTCTTGCTCTTATGGTTCTTTTTGCAAAAGAAACTTTACATCATTTTATTTGTGCTTATATACATTTCTCTATTGATGTTTAAGAATGTTTAAATTATTTATTTACTTTTACTTGAAGGAGAGAGAGAGATTGAAATCTTCGATTAACTGATCCATTTCCCAAATGGCTACAGCAGCTGGAGCTGCACCAGTCCAAACTGGGAGCCAAGAGCTTTTTCTGGTTCTCCTGTGTGGGTACAGAGGCCCAGGGCTTTTCTCTGCTGCTTTCCTAGGTACAGTAGCAGGGAGCTGGAAGGGAATTGAAGCAGCTGGGACTAGAACTAGTGCCCATATGGGATGCTGGAGCATTTTAGGCAGAGGATTAGCATGCTAAGCCACTACACCAGCCCCCTGGTCTTTTAATTTTGAATCTAATTGTGGCCTTTAGGAATTTTGGATATATTTGACTATTAGTGGTTTAAAGCTCAGAAGTTATTTTAATGTATACTTTTTAGCTCTCTCAGTTGTTGGGCCAACATTTGCAAGCAAATCATTTGTGCCTTTATCATCTTACTGCATACAAGCCCATTGTAATGGTTTATATTTTCAGTGCTTTCGGTTCTTTTGTTAGACAGCAGGATGTTCTTAGTTTCTGTGTATTTTCTGTGCTCATCACATTTTGAATTCTGATTGTTCTCTGTGGTAGATAGGTAGTAGATAATAAGGTTTTAGCTTTTCTCTGCAATGAAGTTGTCTTCTAAGAATAAATTGAAGTTTTACTTGTACATGTGAAAGTTCTTCAGTTTTCCTAAGGTAACACTGTTTATTATACTTGGTTCCTTTAATTGGAATGGTTGCACACATATTGTTAGAGGACTTCTAGTGTAGGGAAACAATGAATGAAAAGGTCAGTTGAGGAGCAAGTGTTTGTACTTGTTACGACACCCCTTGGGAAGTATTCATCCCAGTTCAGGTGTGCTTGGGTTTTAGTTTGAGCCTTGCTTCCAGTCTGGCTTCCTGCTAATGTGTATCCTGGGATGGAGCAGATGGTAGAACTGCTGGAGTCTAACCAAGTGGAGATTCAGATTGAGCTTTTGGCTTTGGCCTGGCTCAGGCATATTGGTGATTTAATTAGCAGATGGGAGACCTTTGTCTCCCTTCTTTTGTGTAAGTTTTACTTTTTTATTTTCATGTAAGTTTAAAATCAATTTTTCTGGTCTAAGAATTTGAAAATCTGTGTATACATGGAGTTCATAGAAAATTGCATTATGCAAGGCTTTTGAATCAAAATAAAAATTTCATGTTTTTCAAGGATTTTTTTTTTTTAGATTTATTTATTTTTATTGGAAAGTAGGATGTACAGAGAGGAGAAGAGACAGAGAGGAAGATCTTCCATCTGCTGATTCACTCCCCAAGTTGTTGCAACAGCTGGAGCTGATCCTCTCCTTAGCCAGGAGCCCAGAGCCTCTTCCAGGTCTCCCAAGGCCTTGACTGCTTTCCCAGGCCACAAGCAGGGAGCTGGATGGGAAGTGATGCCACTGGGATTAGAATCCTAGCACCTATGTGGGATCCCAGCATGTGCGTGGCGAGGACTTTAGCTGTTAGGCTACCGCATTGGGCCTTTCATGGCCTTTTTGAAGTGCAGTTATATTTGACTTATTTTTTTCGTATTGCAGTTTAAAAAAAATTGTTTTTATTTGAAAGGCAGAATTTTAGAGGGAGAGAAGGAAAGATCTTCCATCCAGTGGTTCACTCCCCTGATGCTGTTGTTTTCACAGGCTCTAAGCAGGGGAGCTGATCAGAAGTTGAGTTGCCGGGACTCAAGCTGGCACATGTGTGGGCTGCCAGTGCTGCAGCTGGAAGATTAGCTGGCTGTACCGTGGCCCAGTCCTCCCAGTGCAGTTTTCTCTTGATCTGTTTAATGACTTGAGTTCTTTGACAAAGAAACACATGGGTAACGGTGTGCCTTTCACTGGGGCCGGTGGTGGTTTTGGGTGATTGATAGACTGCCTATGTGTTCTGAGGAATTATTAACCTATAGAAAAGGATTAGTAAAACATGTACCGTTTCATGTTCATTTTTTACTTTTAGGTCACTTGTTTTTAAACTTTGTCGCTTATAAAACCTCCTTACATAAGGGAGCTTCACAATGTTCATGCAAGAAGGGAATTAAAAGGAAGTGGCGTTTTCTGTCATCTTCTTGAGGTTCCTTCGTACTGCTAAAATTGAACCTATTGAAAGATTATGCTTCAGTATTTAGTTAGAATCAGAACTGACAAATTAACAATATGAATCTAAATAATAAACCACATTTATTATTATTATTATTTTTTAAAGATTTATTTTTATTATTTTTTTATTGGAAAGGTGGATATACAGAGAGGAGAGACAGAGAGGAAGATCTTCTGTCCGATGATTCACTCCCCAAGTGAGCGCAACGGCCGATGCTATGCCGATCCGGAGCCAGGAGCCTCTTCCGGGTCTCCCACGTGGGTGCAGGGTCCCAAAGCTTTGGGCTGTTCTCGACTGCTTTCCTGGGCCACAGGCAGGGAGCTGGATGGGAAGTGGGGCTGCCGGGATTAGAACCGGCACCCATATGGGATCCCGGGCGTGCAAGGCAAGGACCTTAACCACTATGCCACTGCGCCGGGCCCAACCACATTTATTATTATAAATAGTAATTTTGATAGCTTTTTCATAAAACAATAAAGTAACGGAGCAGAGTAGCACTGTTTGTGTTTTTGGTGTCTCTTTAGTGTCTGAATGCTTCAAGGATGATACTGAGATTTCCATGTTTGCTTGTTAATCTCTGTGCTGTCTTCTTGTGCTGGGGAAGCCTGGCTTCACATTGATTGATAACAGGGAAGAGAAGATCTTCAGAACTCTGAGAGGGCCCGAAAGAGTCAGTCAGTGAAGCCTCAGTCTTACCAGATTGCCACCATTTTACCCAGATTTAAAGCAGTTCTTAAAGTCCTTCTTTTTCTGTTACCCTTATTTCCTGTGTCTGTTTCTGGTGATCATTTGTTTTCTTTGTAGATCGCCACGCAGATTGCAGTGCTGATAGCCAAAGTTGCTAGATTGGACTGTCCGCGGCAGTGGCCTGAGCTGATCCCCACGCTCATCGAGTCTGTCAAGGTCCAAGACGACCTCCGACAGCACCGCGCCTTGCTCACCTTCTATCATGTCACCAAGACACTGGCGTCCAAACGACTGGCTGCTGACAGGAAGCTATTTTATGATGTAAGTGTTTGTTCTTTTTTAATTCTTAAAGTGATTCTTTTTTTTATTGGAAAGGCAGATCCTAATTACGGAAAGAAGGAGAGACAGAAAGATCTCCCATCTGTTGGTTCCTTTACCTAAATGGGTGCAGTGGCTGGAGCTGTGCCTATCCAGAGCCAGGAGCCAGGATCTTCCTCCAGGTCTCCCACGCAGGTGCAGGGGCCCAAGGCTTTGGGTGGTCCTCGACTGTTTTCCCAGGCCACAAGCAGGGAGCTGGATGGGAAGTGGAGCAGGTGGGACACAAACTGCCACCGCTATGGCATCCTGGCAGCTGAAAAGCGAGGATTTAGGCCTTTAGCCATGTTACCGGGCATGAGGTCAGTCAGTCATTCACTAGTCCCCCCGCCCCAAATAGCTGCCAGGGCCGGAGCTGAGCCCATCTCAAGCCAGGAGCCTGGGTCTTTTTTTTCAGGACATCGTGTGTGTGCAGGGGCCCAAGCACTTAGACCATCTCTGCTGCTTTTCCCAGGCACATTAGCAGGGAGCTGGATTGGAAAGGCTTGTCCAGACACTAGCAGGTGGCTGCCGCACCGTGGACCCAGACTTTAATGGATTTCACATAATTAAACGTAATTGTGAGCACTGTGCTGTTATGAATATAGCTTTATTTCTCTGTTAGAAATCTTGCTAATTTTAATCTATGCAGTGAAGTGAATGAAAAGATCACTTAGTTGCCAATGAGAGGATAGGTTGATAAGGACGGTCAGAAGGTAGAGATTCGGGACTGCTGCAATAATTCTGATGAGTTGTTAATCTGTGAAGTGAAGGTGTGTAAAGGCAGCAGTCAGCTTTCCCAGGCGCATTAGCAGGGAGCTGCGTTAAAGTGGGTATAAAGGGGTGCCTGCACTGGACTAGAGGTCAGAGGCCGTAGCCTTAATAAGCCCCTGTGCTGACCCCAAGATGTTTCAGTCTTAAAGTGATAGTTTGGGCCATTGTGGAAAGGAGTAAGTGAAGAGAGTATAGCATTTGAAAGAAAAGGCGTTTAATGATTTAATGCAGGTGGCAAACGGAAACAAAGTTCTAGAAATGAATACTTGTTTTAGTTTGGTTCATAAATGCCTTTATTTTTCTGAGAACTGCCGGACTCTGTGCCCTGGGCTTGTTTTGTACCAAACGCATTGTGTTACAAGTGCCTCTTGTTTGGGATGGAGTAGGAAGAAGGGGAAGGAGATGGTATAGTCTTGAACTGTGGGACATGCTCAGAGCATTAGTTTTTTTTTTTAAAGATTTATTTTTATTATTGTTTATTGGAAAGGCGGATATACAGAGAGGAGAGACAGAGAGGAAGATCTTCCGTCCGGTGATTCACTCCCCAAGTGAGCGCAGTGGTCGATGCTATGCCGATCCGAAGCCAGGAGCCTCTTCTGGGTCTCCCACGCGGGTGCAGGTTCCCAAAGCTTTGGGCCATCCTCGACTGCTTTCCCAGGCCACAGGCAGGGAGCTGGAAGGGAAGCGGGGCTGCCGGGATTAGAACCGGCGCCCATATGGGATCCCGGGCGTGCAAGGCGAGGACTTAACCACTATGCCACCGCGCTGGGCCCGGAGCATTAGTTTTTAAATCTCAAGTACAGCTGGAGAGGCTTCTGAGCCAGACTTTAAATAAGCTTCCCTGCTGGTCCTTCCGGCAAGGCTAAAGCCACAGTCGCAACCCAGTGGTTTCCAGTGCAGTCTTTTTTTTGAAGATGTATTCATTTTATTGGAAAGGCAGATGTATACAGAGAGGGGAGACAGAGAGGAAGATTTTCTATCCGATGATTCACTCCTCAAACAGCCGCAACGGCTGGAGCTGAGCCAGTCTGAAGCCAGGAACCAGGAGCTTCCTCCATGTCTCCCACGCAAGTGCAGGATCCCAAAGCTTTGGGCCGTCCTTGACTGCTTTCCTAGGCCACAGGCAGGGAGCTGGACAGGAAGCGGGGCTGCTGGGATAGAACTGGCACCCATATGGGATCCTGGGCGTGCAAGGCGAGGACTTTAACCATTATGCAATCGCACCGGGCCTGACAGCAGTCTTATGTTCATCTGCTGATGCTGAGTATATGAGAAGTTCTTTTTGATATTTATACGGTTGCTTTTCAGACCCTTGTCACTTTTTCTTGACAAAAGCCAATAAATGACTAATGAAGTGGATAGTTGATCATAACTTTTTGTAGGAATTTCTTTTTTATTTTGTTTCCCTCCCTGGGACTTAAATTTTGTGTTGGGAAGATTCTCAGAGTGAACTATCTAGAAGATTCTGGGTTCCAGTTTCTTGCTCTTGAAGGTTGTGTTTGGTAGAATTCTGAATTCCTGTGTTGGTTTCCTGTGGGATACTTCCTCCTGTTTTGCTTTGGGTTTTCAGGTATAATTGCTGTTTAATGTAGGCGTTCTGTTGTGCATTGTTCTATTCTGCCCAGATAAGTGGTCTTTTCTGGATAACTTGCATGAGTTTGTTTTTTGTTTTTGTGGTGGTTTTGGCTTGTTCTCATTGTAGAAGGAAAGATAGGCCTACCTAGCGTCAGAACTTACTTCCAGTGTGGTACCTGCCACCTTGTACTGAACTGTGCTTACTGATTTAGCTTTTTCTGACACACTACGCTGTCTCTTGTTTATTTCAGAAGCAGAGAGACAGCAAGACTGAGTGAGAGAGTGGTAGATCCTGGCTCCTTGCTTGTTAGTGAAGGCATATGATAGGTGGGGCTGGGCCAAGGTTGGAGCCAGCCAGCAGCACAAGAATTCTTGTAGGTGGGGGACAGTTGCAGGTGGGGGCAGGAGCCGACTCATTAGTGCTGACTCGTAGTGCTGCCTCCCCTGGGTCAGCATTATCAGGAAGCTGTAGTTAGGGGGAGCTCAGCTCAGGCACCTGTGTGCCCTCCATGGTGTGGCCAGAGGCTCACTGCTTTGCTGTAGCTTCAATTGCTACAGTTCTCTTACCTAGTCTGAAACAGTTTCTGAGCACCTTTAGATGTAGAAACCCTTTGTTGCTAGATTCCTTCTAAAGATTCCTTCCTTCAGAGTGATACAGGTAAAACTTCAAAAAGCCAGATTTCTTTTATCTTTTTTGGAAATTATACAGAGCCAAAAGTACCTGGAAAATAATTCAGTTTAGTCCTTGTCACTCTGGAGTGGACTAGATAGACGTGGAGACATGGACGGTGGTAGAGATGTGGCAGGAACTGTGGGAAAGCTCCGTCGATCTCTGAGCGCAGCTGGAGGAAGACACGGTGAGCAGCCGTTTTGCTGGTTAAAGCTGTGCCTGTTATTTTGGCAGTCTGAAGTATAAAACATTTGCCTTTTAATACTGTGTCTACTGTAATACCGGAGTGTAAGGCCGGTTTTCTGTTACCAAATCAGTGTCTCACATGTGAATGCAAGCTTGCAGTTGAGCTAGTTGCAACGGCAAAGTTGTGCAGGGTACACTTAAAACTGCTGTCTTTGCTCAATGTCACTGAACAGTTTTATATTTTTTCTGTTGTTAAAATTAAGATAAGTTCTTTCATGGGTGACAAATTATAAAATCAGTTGAGAGAAAATTGTTTTGCAGTGGCAAAATTGATCTTGATTTGACACAAAAGGGTCTTTATTTTCTTTTTTTTTTTTTCTTTTTAAAAATTATATTTATTTTTGATGGTAGTTGATTAGGGTTAAGGGCTACTCCAGCAGGTGGATAAGATCACCATTTCCACATTCTCTTTTTTTCCCCCTTCCTGTATCTGGGAAAGAGGGGAGACAAGGAGAGAAGCCACACCCAGCCTCCCAGTCGCCTCTGCGCCCTGGGTCCAGCCCGCCGACTCCACCCCCAGGGTCCCTGTTGTGGTACATTCTCTGAGGGTCCTACTCAGGAGGTTTTGATACTTCAGCAGTTCTGAATTACTACCAGACTCGCAGCTCCAAGCGGATGAAATCTCTCCAGAATGCACTGGCTGACATAGTCCACCCTGGAGTCTCTGATTGCCCAGGTACTCTGCCAGTGCTTGGCTGGGGTAGTTGATCGGTTCTGTCCTCTGTCACGGACCCAGGTGTCCTCTGCAGGCTCCAGTGAACCGCCATATCCTCCATGTGCACCTGGACATGCTGTCCACTGCTTTATCTGAGCCACTAAGGAGGCCTAGTTTGACATTCACTTCACGGTCAGACCATGGAACCTGCACTTCTGTTCATGAATGGGGTTTTGAGTCCAAAAATTCAGTTGGGGGAAATCCCCAAAGAAACTTCATCTGAGGTGACCCCAGACCTGGTTCTTGCGTGTGCTTGCTAACTCAAGGTCTGGCAGTCTGTCGTCCCTATCAGCTTATGTGTGTGCTAGCGGTTGCAATCGCTGGGTCAGTTCTGGCTCCAGCCCTGTCTTCTACAAAAACCAATGGGTGTTGCAGTCCAGCCTGATCCTGTCCACCACACACTTGGCCCTTATACAAACCAGTGGGAGTTGCAGCCTAGTTGGAGTGACCCACAATAACCCCCACCAGGCCTGACCCCTGCCCTAGTTCCTGTGGTTGCCAGTATGTACTGCAGCCTGGTCCAGTCTCCCACATCCCATTCAGCTCTCATACATGTTAATGGCCATTGAAGCCTAGTTCATCCTAACCATTCTCCCATCCATCCCACACACATGTTGTTGGGTGCCGTTCTGTCTAGCCACCTCTGATTTGTCCTGGTTTTCGTGCTCTCAAGTGGGAGAGGTAGCCCAAGAGGGAGGAGCCCACTATTTCCCTACCGGGCCTCTCCCATTCCTGGATCATTCACTCTCCAGGTGGTTCTGCAATTTAACTCTTCCGCTGCTGCAAACCCTAACCAGCACTCACCCACTCTGGCTAATGAATGTGCCAGTTGGAACAGTGAGCCCAGCCTAGCTTTTTGCTGATTTAGCTCACATTTGGCCAACAGGTGTTGTAACCCTGCCTGGTCTGGTCTGTCTCATCGCAACTCACGCTCTCCAGTGGGAGTGGTGTCCCAGCAGCGGAACCCACATTCGCCTACCGGCTTTG